ACCAGGCTTTACTGATTCAATCGGTGATTTGGGCTTGTCTTCTAGATTAGTTGGGACCTTTTCGTCTTTTTGATCAAGGGACTTTGGTTTGTCATCGGGTTGAAGAGGTGATTTATCTTCCACACTGATTAAAGGAGCTATCGAAGGAGTTGGCTGGGTAACAGGCTTGTCTTGGGGCCTAGGAATTCCGAACTCTTCGTCACTTTCATCGTCCGAATACTCTTTTGGAATGGTCTTAACTGTCTCAACGGGGGACTTGGGCTTGTCTCCTAATGAAGTTGGGATCTTATCATCTTTCAAGATTGCAAAAGGATCTAAAGGTTTACTGATCTTGCTGTCTACCGATTCAACAATAGTGATTGCGGACTTAATGCTGGATTGAATTGTGGTTAAAGTTTCTTCGGCCTTGAAAGTAGTAACTTCCTTGGGCTTTAGGTCATCTTTAAGAAGGATTTTATCTGAAGCGCTAGTGAAAGGAGTTACCGACGGAGTTGGTTCACTAACAGGTTTGTCTTGGGGCCTGGGAATTGTGAACTCTTCATCACTTTCATCGTCAGAATACTCTTTTGGACTAGGCTTTACTGATTCAATAGGTGATTTCGGCTTGTCTTCTACATTAGTTGGGACCTTTTCGACTTTTTGATCAAGGGACTTTGGTTTGTCATCGGGTTGAAGAGGTGATTTGTCTTCCACACTGATTAAAGGAGCTATCGAAGGAGTTGGCTGAGTAACAGGCTTGTCTTGGGTCCTAGGAATTCCGAACTCTTCGACACTTTCATCGTCCGAATACTCTTTTGGAATGGTCTTAACTGTCTCAATGGGGGACTTGGGCTTGTCATCTAATGAAGTCGGGCTCTTATCATCTTTCAAGATTGCAAAAGGATCTAAAGGTTTACTGATCTTGCTGTCTACCGATTCAACAATAGTGCTTGCGGACTTAAGGCTGGATTGAATTGTGGTTAAAGTTTCTTCGGCCTTGAAAGTGGTAACTTCCTTGGGCTTTAGGTCATCTTTAAGAAGGATTTTATCTGAAGCGCTAGTGAAAGGAGTTACCGAAGGAGTTGGTTCACTAACAGGTTTGTCTTCGGGCCTAGGAATTGTGAACTCTTCATCACTTTCATCGACAGAATACTGTTTTGGACTAGGCTTTACCGGTTGAATCGGTGATTTGGGCTTGTCTTCTACATTAGTTGGGACCTTTTCGTCTTCTTGCTCAAGAGATTTTGGTTTGTCATCAGGTTGAAGAGGTGATTTATCTGCCCCACTGATTAACGAAGCTATCGAAGGAATTGGCTGAGTAACAGGCTTGTCTTGGGGCCTAGGAATTCCGAACTCTTCGTCACTTTCATCGTCCGAATACTCTTTTGGGATGGTCTTAACTGTCTCAATGGGGGACTTGGGCTTGTCATCTAATGAAGTTGGGCTCTTATCATCTTTCAAGATTGCAAAAGGATCTAAAGGTTTACTGATCTTGCTGTCTACCGATTCAACAATAGTGCTTGCGGACTTAAGGCTGGATTGAATTGTGGTTAAAGTTTCTTCGGCCTTGAAAGTGGTAACTTCCTTGGGCTTTAGGTCATCTTTAAGAAGGATTTTATCTGAAGCGCTAGTGAAAGGAGTTACCGAAGGAGTTGGTTCACTAACAGGTTTGTCTTCGGGCCTAGGAATTGTGAACTCTTCATCACTTTCATCGACAGAATACTGTTTTGGACTAGGCTTTACCGGTTGAATCGGTGATTTGGGCTTGTCTTCTACATTAGTTGGGACCTTTTCGTCTTCTTGCTCAAGAGACTTTGGTTTGTCATCGGGTTGAAGAGGTGATTTATCTGCCCCACTGATTAACGGAGCTATCGAAGGAGTTGGCTGAGTAACAGGCTTGTCTTGGGGCCTAGAAATTCCAAACTCGTCGTCACTTTCATCGTCCGAATACTCTTTTGGAATGGTCTTAACTGTCTCAATGGGGGACTTGGGCTTGTCATCTAATGAAGTTGGGCTCTTATCATCTTTTAAGATTGCAAAAGGATCTAAAGGTTTACTGATCTTGCTGTCTACCGATTCAACAATAGTGCTTGCGGACTTAAGGCTGGATTGAATTGTGGTTAAAGTCTCTTCGGCCTTGAAAGTAGTAACTTCCTTGGGCTTTAGGTCATCTTTAAGAAGGATTTTATCTGAAGCGCTAGTGAAAGGAGTTACCGACGGAGTTGGTTCACTAACAGGTTTGTCTTGGGGCCTAGGAATTGTGAACTCTTCATCACTTTCATCGTCAGAATACTCTTTTGGACTAGGCTTTACTGATTCAATCGGTGATTTGGGCTTGTCTTCTACATTAGTTGGGACCTTTTCGTCTTTTTGCTCAAGAGATTTTGGTTTGTCATCGGGTTGAAGAGGTGATTTATCTGCCCCACTGATTAACGGAGCTATCGAAGGAGTTGGCTGGCTAACAGGCTTGTCTTGGGGCCTAGGAATTCCGAACTCTTCGTCACTTTCCTCGTCCGAATACTCTTTTGGAATGGTCTTAACTGTCTCAAAGGGGGACTTGGGCTTGTCATCTAATGAGGTTGGGCTCTTATCATCTTTCAAGATTGCAAAAGGATCTAAAGGTGTACTGATCTTGCTGTCTACCGATTCAACAATAGTGCTTGCGGACTTAAGGCTGGATTGAATTGTTGTAAAAGTTTCTTCGGCCTTGAAAGTGGTAACTTCCTTGGGCTTTAGGTCATCTTTAAGAAGGATTTTATCTGAAGCGCTAGTGAAAGGAGTTACCGAAGGAGTTGGTTCACTAACAGGTTTGTCTTCGGGCCTAGGAATTGTGAACTCTTCATCACTTTCATCGACAGAATACTGTTTTGGACTAGGCTTTACCGGTTGAATCGGTGATTTGGGCTTGTCTTCTACATTAGTTGGGACCTTTTCGTCTTCTTGCTCAAGAGACTTTGGTTTGTCATCGGGTTGAAGAGGTGATTTATCTGCCCCACTGATTAACGGAGCTATCGAAGGAGTTGGCTGAGTAACAGGCTTGTCTTGGGGCCTAGGAATTCCAAACTCGTCGTCACTTTCATCGTCCGAATACTCTTTTGGAATGGTCTTAACTGTCTCAATGGGGGACTTGGGCTTGTCATCTAATGAAGTTGGGCTCTTATCATCTTTTAAGATTGCAAAAGGATCTAAAGGTTTACTGATCTTGCTGTCTACCGATTCAACAATAGTGCTTGCGGACTTAAGGCTGGATTGAATTGTGGTTAAAGTCTCTTCGGCCTTGAAAGTAGTAACTTCCTTGGGCTTTAGGTCATCTTTAAGAAGGATTTTATCTGAAGCGCTAGTGAAAGGAGTTACCGACGGAGTTGGTTCACTAACAGGTTTGTCTTGGGGCCTAGGAATTGTGAACTCTTCATCACTTTCATCGTCAGAATACTCTTTTGGACTAGGCTTTACTGATTCAATCGGTGATTTGGGCTTGTCTTCTACATTAGTTGGGACCTTTTCGTCTTTTTGCTCAAGAGATTTTGGTTTGTCATCGGGTTGAAGAGGTGATTTATCTGCCCCACTGATTAACGGAGCTATCGAAGGAGTTGGCTGGCTAACAGGCTTGTCTTGGGGCCTAGGAATTCCGAACTCTTCGTCACTTTCATCGTCCGAATACTCTTTTGGAATGGTCTTAACTGTCTCAAAGGGGGACTTGGGCTTGTCATCTAATGAGGTTGGGCTCTTATCATCTTTCAAGATTGCAAAAGGATCTAAAGGTGTACTGATCTTGCTGTCTACCGATTCAACAATAGTGCTTGCGGACTTAAGGCTGGATTGAATTGTTGTAAAAGTTTCTTCGGCCTTGAAAGTGGTAACTTCCTTGGGCTTTAGGTCATCTTTAAGAAGGATTTTATCTGAAGCGCTAGTGAAAGGAGTTACCGAAGGAGTTGGTTCACTAACAGGTTTGTCTTCGGGCCTAGGAATTGTGAACTCTTCATCACTTTTATCGACAGAATACTGTTTTGGACTAGGCTTTACCGGTTGAATCGGTGATTTGGGCTTGTCTTCTACATTAGTTGGGACCTTTTCGTCTTCTTGCTCAAGAGACTTTGGTTTGTCATCGGGTTGAAGAGGTGATTTTTCTGCCCCACTGATTAACGGAGCTATCGAAGGAGTTGGCTGAGTAACAGGCTTGTCTTGGGGCCTAGGAATTCCAAACTCTTCGTCACTTTCATCGTCCGAATACTCTTTTGGAATGGTCTTAACTGTCTCAATGGGGGACTTGGGCTTGTCATCTAATGAAGTTGGGATCTTATCGTCTTTCAAGATTGTAAAAGGATCTAAAGGTTTGCTGATCTTGCTGTCTACCGATTCAACAATGGTGCTTGCGGACTTAATGCTGGATTGAATTGTGGTTAAAGTTTCTTCGGCCTTGAAAGTGGTAACTTCCTTGGGCTTTAGGTCATCTTTAAGAAGGATTTTATCTGAAGCGCTAGTGAAAGGAGTTACCGAAGGAGTTGGTTCACTAACAGGTTTGTCTTGGGGCCTAGAAATTGTGAACTCTTCATCACTTTCATCGTCAGAATACTCTTTTGGACTAGGCTTTACTGATTCAATCGGTGATTTGGGCTTGTCTTCTAGATTAGTTGGGACCTTTTCGTCTTTTTGATCAAGGGACTTTGGTTTTTCATCGGGTTGAAGAGGTGATTTATCTTCCACACTGATTAAAGGAGCTATCGAAGGAGTTGGCTGGGTAACAGGCTTGTCTTTGGGCCTAGGAATTCCGAACTCTTCGTCACTTTCATCGTCCGAATACTCTTTTGGAATGGTCTTAACTGTCTCAATGGGGGACTTGGGCTTGTCATCTAATGAAGTTGGGATCTTATCATCTTTCAAGATTGCAAAATGATCTAAAGGTTTGCTGATCTTGCTGTCTACCGATTCAACAATGGTGCTTGCGGACTTAAAGCTGGATTGAATTGTGGTTAAAGTTTCTTCGCCATTGAAAGTGGTAACTTCCTTGGGCTTTAGGTCATCTTTAAGAAGGATTTTATCTGAAGGGCTAGTGAAAGGAGTTACCGAAGGAGTTGGTTCACTAACAGGTTTGTCTTGGGGCCTAGGAATTGTGAACTCTTCATCACTTTCATCGTCAGAATACTCTTTTGGACTAGGCTTTACTGATTCAATCGGTGATTTGGGCTTGTCTTCTAGATTAGTTGGGACCTTTTCGTCTTTTTGGTCAAGGGACTTTGGTTTGTCATCGGGTTGAAGAGGTGATTTATCTTCCACACTGATTAAAGGAGCTATCGAAGGAGTTGGCTGGGTAACAGGCTTGTCTTGGGGCCTAGGAATTCCGAACTCTTCTTCACTTTCATCGTCCGAATACTCTTTTGGAATGGTCTTAACTGTCTCAATGGGGGACTTGGGCTTGTCATCTAATGAAGTTGGGATCTTATCATCTTTCAAGATTGCAAAATGATCTAAAGGTTTGCTGATCTTGCTGTCTACCGATTTAACAATGGTGCTTGCGGACTTAAAGCTGGATTGAATTGTGGTTAAAGTTTCTTCGGCCTTGAAAGTGGTAACTTCCTTGGGCTTTAGGTCATCTTTAAGAAGGATTTTATCTGAAGCGCTAGTAAAAGGAGTTACAGACGGAGTTGGTTCACTAACAGGTTTGTCTTGGGGCTTAGGAATTGTGAACTCTTCATCACTTTCATCGACAGAATACTGTTTTGGACTAGGCTTTACCGGTTGAATCGGTGATTTGGGCTTGTCTTCTACATTAGTTGGGACCTTTTCGTCTTCTTGCTCAAGAGACTTTGGTTTGTCATCGGGTTGAAGAGGTGATTTTTCTGCCCCACTGATTAACGGAGCTATCGAAGGAGTTGGCTGAGTAACAGGCTTGTCTTGGGGCCTAGGAATTCCGAACTCTTCGTCACTTTCATCGTCCGAATACTCTTTTGGAATGGTCTTAACTGTCTCAAAGGGCGACTTGGGCTTGTCATCTAATGAAGTTGGGATCTTATCATCTTTCAAGATTGCAAACGGATCTAAAGGTTTGCTGATCTTGCTGTCTACCGATTCAACAATGGTGCTTGCGGACTTAAAGCTGGATTGAATTGTGGTTAAAGTTTCTTCGGCCTTGAAAGTGGTAACTTCCTTGCGCTTTAGGTCATCTTTAAGAAGGATTTTATCTGAAGCGCTAGTAAAAGGAGTTACCGACGGAGTTGGTTTACTAACAGGTTTGTCTTGGGGCCTAGGAATTGTGAACTCTTCATCACTTTCATCGACAGAATACTGTTTTGGACTAGGCTTTACCGGTTGAATCGGTGATTTGGGCTTGTCTTCTACATTAGTTGGGACCTTTTCGTCTTCTTGCTCAAGAGACTTTGGTTTGTCATCGGGTTGAAGAGGTGATTTATCTGCCCCACTGATTAACGGAGCTATCGAAGGAGTTGGCTGAGTAACAGGCTTGTCTTGGGGCCTAGGAATTCCAAACTCTTCGTCACTTTCATCGTCCGAATACTCTTTTGGAATGGTCTTAACTGTCTCATTGGGGGTCTTGGGCTTGTCATCTAATAAAGTTGGGATCTTATCGTCTTTCAAGATTGTAAAAGGGTCTAAAGGTTTGCTGATCTTGCTGTCTACCGATTCAACAATGGTGCTTGCGGACTTAATGTTGGATTGAATTGTGGTTAAAGTTTCTTCGGCCTTGAAAGTGGTAACTTCCTTGGGCTTTAGGTCATCTTTAAGAAGGATTTTATCTGAAGCGCTAGTGAAAGGAGTTACCGACGGAGTTGGTTCACTTACAGGTTTGTCTTGGGGCCTAGGAATTGTGAACTCTTCATCACTTTCATCGTCAGAATACTCTTTTGGACTAGGCTTTAATGATTCAATCGGTGATTTGGGCTTGTCTTCTACATTAGTTGGGACCTTTTCGTCTTTTTGCTCAAGAGACTTTGGTTTGTCATCAGGTTGAAGAGGTGATTTATCTGCCCCACTGATTAACGAAGCTATCGAAGGAATTGGCTGAGTAACAGGCTTGTCTTGGGGCCTAGGAATTCCGAACTCTTCGTCACTTTCATCGTCCGAATACTCTTTTGGAATGGTCTTAACTGTCTCAATGGGGGACTTGGGCTTGTCATCTAATGAAGTTGGGATCTTATCATCTTTCAAGATTGTAAAAGGGTCTAAAGGTTTGCTGATCTTGCTGTCTACCGATTCAACAATGGTGCTTGCGGACTTAATGTTGGATTGAATTGTGGTTAAAGTTTCTTCGGCCTTGAAAGTGGTAACTTCCTTGGGCTTTAGGTCATCTTTAAGAAGGATTTTATCTGAAGCGCTAGTAAAAGGAGTTACCGACGGAGTTGTTTTACTAACAGGTTTGTCTTGGGGCCTAGGAATTGTGAACTTTTCATCACTTTCATCGACAGAATACTGTTTTGGACTAGGCTTTACCGGTTGAATCGGTGATTTGGGCTTGTCTTCTACATTAGTTGGGACCTTTTCGTCTTCTTGCTCAAGAGACTTTGGTTTGTCATCGGGTTGAAGAGGTGATTTTTCTGCCCCACTGATTAACGGAGCTATCGAAGGAGTTGGCTGAGTAACAGGCTTGTCTTGGGGCCTAGGAATTCCGAACTCTTCGACACTTTCATCGTCCGAATACTCTTTTGGAATGGTCTTAACTGTCTCAAAGGGGGACTTGGGCTTGTCATCTAATGAAGTTGGGATCTTATCATCTTTCAAGATTGCAAAAGGATCTAAAGGTTTGCTGATCTTGCTGTCTACCGATTCAACAATAGTGATTGCGGACTTAACGCTGGATTGAATTGTGGTTAAAGGTTCTTCGGCCTTGAAAGTAGTAACTTCCTTGGGCTTTAGGTCATCTTTAAGAAGGATTTTATCTGAAGCGCTAGTGAAACGAGTTACCGACGGAGTTGGTTCACTTACAGGTTTGTCTTGGGGCCTAGGAATTGTGAACTCTTCATCACTTTCATCGTCAGAATACTCTTTTGGACTAGGCTTTACTGATTCAATCGGTGACTTGGGCTTGTCTTCTACATTAGTTGGGACCTTTTCGTCTTTTTGATCAAGGGACTTTGGTTTGTCATCGGGTTGAAGAGGTGATTTATCTTCCACACTGATTAAAGGAGCTATCGAAGGAGTTGGCTGAGTAACAGGCTTGTCTTGGGGCCTAGGAATTCCGAACTCTTCGACACTTTCATCGTCCGAATACTCTTTTGGAATGGTCTTAACTGTCTCAAAGGGGGACTTGGGCTTGTCATCTAATGAAGTTGGGATCTTATCGTCTTTCAAGATTGTAAAAGGGTCTAAAGGTTTGCTGATCTTGCTGTCTACCGATTCAACAATGGTGCTTGCGGACTTAATGTTGGATTGAATTGTGGTTAAAGTTTCTTCGGCCTTGAAAGTGGTAACTTCCTTGGGCTTTAGGTCATCTTTAAGAAGGATTTTATCTGAAGCGCTAGTGAAAGGAGTTACCGACGGAGTTGGTTCACTTACAGGTTTGTCTTGGGGCCTAGGAATTGTGAACTCTTCATCACTTTCATCGTCAGAATACTCTTTTGGACTAGGCTTTACTGATTCAATCGGTGACTTGGGCTTGTCTTCTACATTAGTTGGGACCTTTTCGTCTTTTTGATCAAGGGACTTTGGTTTGTCATCGGGTTGAAGAGGTGATTTATCTTCCACACTGATTAAAGGAGCTATCGAAGGAGTTGGCTGGCTAACAGGCTTGTCTTGGGGCCTAGGAATTCTGAACTCTTCTTCACTTTCATCGTCCGAATACTCTTTTGGAATGGTCTTAACTGTCTCAATGGGGGACTTGGGCTTGTCATCTAATGAAGTTGGGATCTTATCATCTTTCAAGATTGCAAAATGATCTAAAGGTTTGCTGATCTTGCTGTCTACCGATTCAACAATGGTGCTTGCGGTTTTAAAGCTGGATTGAATTGTGGTTAAAGTTTCTTCGGCCTTGAAAGTGGTAACTTCCTTGGGCTTTAGGTCATCTTTAAGAAGGATTTTATCTGAAGCGCTAGTAAAAGGAGTTACCGACGGAGTTGGTTTACTAACAGGCTTGTCTTGGGGCCTAGGAATTGTGAACTCTTCATCACTTTCATCGACAGAATACTGTTTTGGACTAGGCTTTACCGGTTGAATCGGTGATTTGGGCTTGTCTTCTACATTAGTTGGGACCTTTTCGTCTTCTTGCTCAAGAGACTTGGGTTTGTCATCGGGTTGAAGAGGTGATTTATCTGCCCCACTGATTAACGGAGCTATCGAAGGAGTTGGCTGAGTAACAGGCTTGTCTTGGGGCCTAGGAATTCCAAACTCTTCGTCACTTTCATCGTCCGAATACTCTTTTGGAATGGTCTTAACTGTCTCAATGGGGGTCTTGGGCTTGTCATCTAATAAAGTTGGGATCTTATCGTCTTTCAAGATTGTAAAAGGGTCTAAGGGTTTGCTGATCTTGCTGTCTACCGATTCAACAATGGTGCTTGCGGACTTAATGTTGGATTGAATTGTGGTTAAAGTTTCTTCGGCCTTGAAAGTGGTAACTTCCTTGGGCTTTAGGTCATCTTTAAGAAGGATTTTATCTGAAGCGCTAGTAATAGGAGTTACCGACGGAGTTGGTTCACTAACAGGTTTGTCTTGGGGCCTAGGAATTGTGAACTCTTCATCACTTTCATCGTCAGAATACTCTTTTGGACTAGGCTTTACTGATTCAATCGGTGATTTGGGCTTGTCTTCTACATTAGTTGGGACCTTTTCGTCTTTTTGCTCAAGAGACTTTGGTTTGTCATAAGGTTGAAGAGGTGATTTATCTGCCCCACTGATTAACGAAGCTATCGAAGGAATTGGCTGAGTAACAGGCTTGTCTTGGGGCCTAGGAATTCCGAACTCTTCGTCACTTTCATCGTCCGAATACTCTTTTGGAATGGTCTTAAGTGTCTTAAAGGGGGACTTGGGCTTGTCTTCTAATGAAGTTGGGATCTTATCATCTTTCAAGATTGCAAAAGGATCTAAAGGTTTGCTGATCTTGCTGTCTACCGATTCAACAATAGTGATTGCGGACTTAACGCTGGATTGAATTGTGGTTAAAGGTTCTTCGGCCTTGAAAGTAGTAACTTCCTTGGGCTTTAGGTCATCTTTAAGAAGGATTTTATCTGAAGCGCTAGTGAAAGGAGTTACCGAAGGAGTTGGTTCACTAACAGGTTTGTCTTGGGGCCTAGGAATTGTGAACTCTTCATCACTTTCATCGACAGAATACTGTGTTGGACTAGGCTTTACCGGTTGAATCGGTGATATGGGCTTGTCTTCTAGATTAGTTGGGACCTTTTCATCTTTTTGCTCAAGAGTCTTTGGTTTGTCATCGGGTTGAAGAGGTGATTTATCTTCCACACTGATTAAAGGAGCTATCGAAGGAGTTGGCTGGGTAACAGGCTTGTCTTGGGGCCTAGGAATTCCGAACTCTTCGTCAGGCTTTACTGATTCAATCGGTGATTTGGGCTTGTCTTCTACATTAGCTGGGACCTTTTCGTCTTTTTGCTCAATAGTCTTTGGTTTGTCATCGGGTTGAAGAGGTGATTTGTCTTCCACACTGATTAAAGGAGCTATCGAAGGAGTTGGCTGGGTAACAGGCTTGTCTTGGGGCCTAGGAATTCCGAACTCTTCGTCACTTTCATCGTCCGAATACTCTTTTGGAATGGTCTTAACTGTCTCAATGGGGGTCTTGGGCTTGTCATCTAATAAAGTTGGGATCTTATCGTCTTTCAAGATTGTAAAAGGGTCTAAAGGTTTGCTGATCTTGCTGTCTACCGATTCAACAATGGTGCTTGCGGACTTAATGTTGGATTGAATTGTGGTTAAAGTTTCTTCGGCCTTGAAAGTGGTAACTTCCTTGGGCTTTAGGTCATCTTTAAGAAGGATTTTATCTGAAGCGCTAGTAATAGGAGTTACCGACGGAGTTGGTTCACTAACAGGTTTGTCTTGGGGCCTAGGAATTGTGAACTCTTCATCACTTTCATCGTCAGAATACTCTTTTGGACTAGGCTTTACTGATTCAATCGGTGATTTGGGCTTGTCTTCTACATTAGTTGGGACCTTTTCGTCTTCTTGCTCAAGAGACTTTGGTTTGTCATCGGGTTGAAGAGGTGATTTATCTGCCCCACTGATTAACGGAGCTATCGAAGGAGTTGGCTGAGTAACAAGCTTGTCTTGGGGCCTAGGAATTCCAAACTCTTCGTCACTTTCATCGTCCGAATACTCTTTTGGAATGGTCTCAACTGTCTTAAAGGGGGACTTGGGCTTGTCATCTAATGAAGTTGGGATCTTATCATCTTTCAAGATTGCAAAAGGATCTAAAGGTTTGCTGATCTTGCTGTCTACCGATTCAACAATGGTGCTTGCGGACTTAACGCTGGATTGAATTGTGGTTAAGGGTTCTTCGGCCTTGAAAGTAGTAACTTCCTTGGGCTTTAGGTCATCTTTAAGAAGGATTTTATCTGAAGCGCTAGTGAAAGGAGTTACCGACGGAGTTGGTTCACTAACAGGTTTGTCTTGGGGCCTAGGAATTGTGAACTCTTCATCACTTTTATCGTCAGAATACTCTTTTGGACTAGGCTTTACTGATTCAATCGGTGATTTGGGCTTGTCTTCTACATTAGTTGGGACCTTTTCGTCTTTTTGCTTAAGAGACTTTGGTTTGTCATCGGGTTGAAGAGGTGATTTATCTGCCCCACTGATTAACGGAGCTATCGAAGGAGTTGGCTGAGTAACAGGCTTGTCTTGGGGCCTAGGAATTCCGAACTCTTCGTCACTTTCATCGTCCGAATACTCTTTTGGAATGGTCTTAACTGTCTCAATGGGGGAATTGGGCTTGTCTCCTAATGAAGTTGGGATCTTATCATCTTTCAAGATTGCAAAAGGATCTAAAGGTTTACTGATCTTGCTGTCTACCGATTCAACAATAGTGATTGCGGACTTGATGCTGGATTGAATTGTGGTTAAAGTTTCTTCGGCCTTGAAAGTAGTAACTTCCTTGGGCTTTAGGTCATCTTTAAGAAGGATTTTATCTGAAGCGCTAGTGAAAGGAGTTAACGAAGGAGTTGGTTCACTAACAGGATTGTCTTGGGGCCTAGGAATTGTGAACTCTTCATCACTTTCATCGACAGAATACTGTGTTGGACTAGGCTTTACCGGTTGAATCGGTGATTTGGGCTTGTCTTCTAGATTAGTTGGGACCTTTTCATCTTTTTGCTCAAGAGTCTTTGGTTTGTCATCGGGTTGAAGAGGTGATTTATCTTCCATACTGATTAAAGGAGCTATCGAAAGAGTTGGCTGGGTAACAGGCTTGTCTTGGGGCCTAGGAATTCTGAACTCTTCGTCAGGCTTTACTGATTGAATCGGTGATTTGGGCTTGTCTTCTACATTAGCTGGGACCTTTTCGTCTTTTTGCTCAATAGTCTTTGGTTTGTCATCGGGTTGAAGAGGTGATTTGTCTTCCACACTGATTAAAGGAGCTATCGAAGGAGTTGGCTGGGTAACAGGCTTGTCTTGGGGCCTAGGAATTCCGAACTCTTCGTCACTTTCATCGTCCGAATACTCTTTTGGAATGGTCTTAACTGTCTCAATGGGGGACTTGGGCTTGTCTCCTAATGAAGTTGGGATCTTATCATCTTTCAAGATTGCAAAAGGATCTAAAGGTTTGCTGATCTTGCTGTCTACCGATTCAAAAATAGTGCTTGCGGACTTAATGCTGGATTGAATTGTGGTTAAAGTTTCTTCGGCCTTGAAAGTGGTAACTTCCTTGGGCTTTAGGTCATCTTTAAGAAGGATTTTATCTGAAGCGCTAGTGAAAGGAGTTACCGAAGGAGTTGGTTCACTAACAGGTTTGTCTTGGGGCCTAGGAATTGTGAACTCTTCATCACTTTCATCGACAGAATACTGTGTTGGACCAGGCTTTACCGGTTGAATCGGTGATTTGGGCTTGTCTTCTAGATTAGTTGGGACCTTTTCATCTTTTTGCTCAACAGTCTTTGGTTTGGCATCGGGTTGAAGAGGTGATTTATCTTCCACACGGATTAAAGGAGCTATCGAAGGAGTTGGCTGGATAACAGGCTTGTCTTGGGGCCTAGGAATTCCGAACCCTTCGTCAGGCTTTACTGATTTAATCGGTGATTTGGGCTTGTCTTCTACATTAGCTGGGACCTTTTCGTCTTTTTGCTCAAGAGTCTTTGGTTTGTCATCGGGTTGAAGAGGTGATTTGTCTTCCACACTGATTAAAGGAGCTATCGAAGGAGTTGGCTGGGTAACAGGCTTGTCTTGGGGCCTAGGAATTCCGAAGTCTTCGTCACTTTCATCGTCCGAATACTCTTTTTGAATTGACTTAACTGTCTCAATGGGAGACTTGGGCTTGTCTCCTAATGAAGTTGGGATCTTATTATCTTTCAAGATTGCAAAAGGATCTAAAGGTTTGCTAATCTTGCTGTCTACCGATTCAACAACAGTGCTTGCGGACTTAATGCTGGATTGAATTGTGGTTAAAGTTTCTTCGGCCTTGAAAGTGGTAACTTCCTTGGGCTTTAGGTCATCTTTAAGAAGGATTTTATCTGAAGCGCTAGTGAAAGGAGTTACCGAAGGAGTTGGTTCACTAACAGGTTTGTCTTGGGGCCTAGGAATTATGATTTCTTCATCACTTTCATCGACAGAATACTCTTTTGGACTAGGCTTTACCGGTTGAATCGGTGATATGGGCTTGTCTTCTAGATTAGTTGGGACCTTTTCGTCTTTTTGCTCAAGAGTCTTTGGCTTGTCACCGGGTTTAAGAGGTGATTTATATTCCACACTGATTAAAGGAGCTATCGAAGGAGTTGGCTGGGTAACAGGCTTGTCTTGGGGCCTAGGAATTCCGAACTCTTTGTCACTTTCATCGTCCGAATACTCTTTTGGAATGGTCTTAAGTGTCTCAATGGGGGACTTGGGCTTGTCTCCTAATGAAGTTGGGATCTTATCATCTTTCAAGATTGCAAAAGGATCTAAAGGTTTGCTGATCTTGCTGTTTACCGATTCAACAATAGTGCTTGCGGACTTAATGCTGGATTGAATTGTGTTTAAAGTTTCTTCGGCCTTGAAAGTGGTAACTTCCTTGGGCTTTAGTTCATCTTTAAGAAGGATTTTATCTGAAGCGCTAGTGAAAGGAGTTACCGAAGGAGTTGGTTCACTAACAGGTTTGTCTTGGGGCCTAGGAATTGTGAACTTTTCATCACTTTCATCGATAAAATACTGTTTTGGACTAGGCTTTACCGGTTGAATCGATGATTTGGGCTTGTCATCGGGTTGAAGAGGTGATTTTTCTTCCACACTGATTAACGAAGCTATCGAAGAAGTTGGCTGGGTAACAGGCTTGTCTTGGGGCCTAGAAATTCCGAACTCTTCGTCACTTTCATCGTCCGAATACTCTTTTGGAATGGTCTTAACTGTCTCAATGGGGGACTTGGGCTTGTCATCTAATGAAGTTGGGATCTTATCATCTTTCAAGATTGCAAAAGGATCTAAGGGTTTGTTGATCTTGCTGTCTACCGATTCAACAACAGTGCTTGCGGACTTAATGCTGGATTGAATTGTGGTTAAAGTTTCTTCGGCCTTGAAAGTGGTAACTTCCTTGGGCTTTAGGTCATCTTTAAGAAAAATTTTATCTGAAGCGCTAGTGAAGGGAGTTACCGAAGGAGTTGGTTCACTAACAGGACTGTCTTGGGGCCTAGGAAATGGGATTTCTTCATCACTTTCATCGTCAGAATACTCTTTTGGACTAGGCTTTACCGGTTGAATCGGTGATTTCGGATTGTCTTCTAGATTAGTTGGGACCTTTTCGTCTTTTTGCTCAAGAGTCTTTGGTTTGTCATCGGGTTGAAGAGGTGATTTATCTGCCCCACTGATTAACGGAGCTAACGAAGTAGTTGGCTGAGTAACAGGCTTGTCTTGGGGCCTAGGAATTCCGAACTCTTCGTCACTTTCATCGTCCGAATACTCTTTTGGAATGGTCTTAACTTTCTCAATGGGGGACTTGGGCTTGACTCCTAATGAAGTTGGGATCTTATCGTCTTTCAAGATTGTAAAAGGGTCTAAAGGTTTGCTGATCTTGCTGTCTACCGATTCAACAATGGTGCTTGCGGACTTAATGCTGGATTGAATTGTGGTTAAAGTTTCTTCGGCCTTGAAAGTGGTAACTTCCTTGGGCTTTAGGTCATGTTTAAGAAGGATTTTATCTGAAGCGCTAGTAAATGGAGTTACCGACGGAGTTGGTTCACTAACAGGTTTGTCTTGGGGCCTAGGAATTGTGAACTCTTCATCACTTTCATCGTCAGAATACTCTTTTGGACTAGGCTTTACCGGTTGAATCGGTGATTTGGGCTTGTCTTCTAGATTAGTTGGGACCTTTTCGTCTTTTTGCTCAAGAGTCTTTGGTTTGTCATCGGGTTGAAGAGTTGCTTTATCTGCCCCACTGATTAACGGAGCTAACGAAGTAGTTGGCTGAGTAACAGGCTTGTCTTGGGGCCTAGGAATTCCAAACTCTTCGTCACTTTCATCGTCCGAATACTCTTTTGGAATGGTGTTAACTGTCTCAATGGGTGTATTGGGCTTGTCATCTAATGAAGTTGGGATCTTATCGTCTTTCAAGATTGTTAAAGGGTCTAAAGGTTTGCTGATCTTGCTGTCTACCGATTCAACAATGGTGCTTGCGGACTTAATGTTGGATTGAATTGTGGTTAAAGTTTCTTCGGCCTTGAAAGTGGTAACTTCCTTGGGCTTTAGGTCATCTTTAAGAAGGATTTTATCTGAAGCGCTAGTAAAAGGAGTTACCGACGGAGTTGGTTCACTAACAGGTTTGTCTTGGGGCCTAGGAATTGTGAACTCTTCATCACTTTCATCGTCAGAATACTCTTTTGGACTAGGCTTTACCGGTTGAATCGGTGATTTGGGCTTGTCTTCTAGATTAGTTGGGACCTTTTCGTCTTTTTGCTCAAGAGTCTTTGGTTTGTCATCGGGTTGAAGAGGTGCTTTATCTGCCCCACTGATTAACGGAGCTATCGAAGTAGTTGGCTGAGTAACAGGCTTGTCTTGGGGCCTAGAAATTCCGAAGTCTTCGTCACTTTCATCGTCCGAATACTCTTTTTGAATTGTCTTAACTGTCTCAATGGGAGACTTGGGCTTGTCTCCTAATGAAGTTGGGATCTTATTATCTTTCAAGATTGCAAAAGGATCTAAAGGTTTGCTGATCTTGCTGTCTACCGATTCAACAACAGTGCTTGCGGACTTAATGCTGGATTGAATTGTGGTTAAAGTTTCTTCGGCCTTGAAAGTGGTAACTTCCTTGGGCTTTAGGTCATCTTTAAGAAGGATTTTATCTGAAGCGCTAGTGAAAGGAGTTACCGACGGAGTTGTTTCACTAACAGGTTTGTTTTGGGGCCTAGGAATTGGGATTTCTTCATCACTTTCATCGACAGAATACTCTTTTGGACTAGGCTTTACTGATTCAATCGGTGATTTGGGCTTGTCTTCTAGATTAGTTGGGACCTTTTCGTCTTCTTGCTCAAGAGACTTTGGTTTGTCATCGGGTTGAAGAGGTGCTTTATCTGCCCCACTGATTAACGGCGCTATCGAAGTAATTGGCTGAGTAACAGGCTTGTCTTGGGGCCTAGGAATTCCGAACTCTTCGTCACTTTCATCGTCCGAATACTCTTTTGGAATGGTCTTAACTGTCTCGATGGGGGACTTGGGCTTGTCTCCTAATGAAGTTGGGATCTTATCAGCTTTCAAGATTGCAAAAGGATCTAAAGGTTTGCTGATCTTGCTGTCTACCGATTCAACAAAAGTGCTTGCGGACTTAATGCTGGATTGTATTGTGGTTAAAGTTTCTTCGGCCTTGAAAGTGGTAACTTCCTTGGGCTTTAGGTCATCTTTAAGAAGGATTTTATCTGAAGCGCTAGTGAAAGGAGTTATTGAAGGAGTTGGTTCACTAACAGGTTTGTCTTGGGGCCTAGGAATTGTGATTCCTTCATCACTTTCATCGACAGAATACTCTTTTGGACTAGGCTTTACCGGTTGAATCGGTGATTTTGGCTTGTCTTCTAGATTAGTTGGGACCTTTTCGTCTTTTTGCTCAAGAGTCTTTGGTTTGTCGTCGGGTTGAAGAGGTGATTTATCTTCCACACTGATTAACGAAGCTATCGAAGAAGTTGGCTGGGTAACAGGCTTGTCTTGGGGCCTAGGAATTCCGAACTCTTCGTCACTTTCATCGTCCGAATACTCTTTTGGAATGGTCTTAACTGTCTCAATGGGGGACTTGGGCTTGTCTCCTAATGAAGTTGGGCTCTTATCATCTTTCAAGATTGCAAAAGGATCTAAAGGTTTGCTGATCTTGCTGCCTACCGATTCAACAATAGTGCTTGCGGACTTAATGCTGGATTGAATTGTGGTTAAAGTTTCGTCGGCCTTGAAAGTGGTAACTTCCTTGCGGTTTAGGTCATCTTCAAGAAGGATTTTATCTGAAGCGCTAGTGAAAGGAATTACCGACGGAGTTGGTTCACTAACAGGTTTGTCTTGGGGCCTAGGAATTGTGAACTCTTCATCACTTTCATCGACAGAATACTCTTTTGGACTAGGCTTTACCGGTTGAATCGGTGATTTGGGCTTGTCTTCTAGATTAGTTGGGACCTTTTCGTCTTTTTGCTCAAGAGACTTTGGCTTGTCATCGGGTTGAAGAGGTGATTTATCTGCCCCACTGATTAACGGAGCTATCGAGGGAGTTGGCTGAGTAACAGGCTTGTCTTGGGGCCTAGGAATTCCGATATCTTCGTCACTTTCATCGTCCGAATACTCTTTTGGAGTGGTCTTAACTGTCTCAATGGGAGACTTGGGTTTGTCTACTAATGAAGTTGGGATCTTATCATCTATCAAGATTGCAAAAGGATCTAAAGGTTTGTTGACCTTGCTGTCTACCGATTCAACAATAGTGCTTGCGGACTTAATGCTGGATTGAATTGTGGTTAAAGTTTCTTCGGCCTTGAAAGTGGTAACTTCCTTGGGCCTTATGTCATCTTCAACAAGGATTTTATCTGAAGCGCTAGTGGAAGGAGTTACCGAAGGAGTTGGTTTACTAACAGGTTTGTCTTGGGGCCTAGGTATTCCGAACTCTTCGTTACATTCATCGTCCGAATACTCTTTTGGAATAGTCTTAACTGTCTCAATGGGGGACTTGGGCTTGTCACCTAATGAAGTTGGGATCTTATCATCTTTCAAGAATGCAAAAGGATCTAAAGGTTTGCTGATCTTGCTGTCTACCGATTCAACAATAGTGCTTGCGGATTTAATGCTGGATTGAATTGTGGTTAAGGTTTCTTCGGCCTTGAATGTGGTAACTTCCTTGGGCTTTAGGTCATCTTTAAGAAGGATTTTATCTGAAGCGCTAGTGAAAGGAGTTACCGACGGAGTTGGTTCACTAACAGGTTTGTCTTGGGGCCTAGGAATTGTGAACTCTTCTTCACTTTCATCGTCAGAATACTCTTTTGGACAAGGCTTTACTGATTCAATCGGTGATTTGGGCCTGTCTTCTAGATTAGTTGGGACCTTTTCGTCTTTTTGCTCAAGAGACTTTGGTTTGTCATCGGGTTGAAGAGGTGATTTATCTGCTCCACTGATTAAAGGAGTTATCGAAGGAGTTGGCTGGATAACAGGCTTGTCTTGGGGCCTAGGAATTGTGACCTCTTCATCACTTTCATCGTCCGAATACTCTTTTGGACTAGGCTTTACTGATTCAATTGGTAAGTTGGGCTTGTCTTCTAGATTAGTTGGAACCTTTTCGTCTTTTTCCTCAGGAAACTTTTGTTTTTCATCAGATTGAAGAGGAGATTTATCCACATCACTGATAAAAGGAGTTCCCCTAGCTGTTGGCTGTGTAACATTCTTGTTTTGAGGTTTAGAAATGTCAAGCTGTTCCCCACTTTCAATTTTGGAATATTCTTTTGTATTAGTTATTACGGACTCATTTGACTTGCATTTGCCATAAGAGTCACTGGGTATAACGCTTGCTGTCGGAAACCTGGTCATTTCTTTATTATGAGTAGTGTCGACTATCCTAGATGAGTCTACAATAGATACTTGCTCAATTTTCGACAAATGTTTTAGTTTGTTTATTGTTTTTAGATTGTCCAGCTCTTCGTCACTATCACTTTCAATTGGTTGGTTATCTAAATAGGTTTTCACATCAGATGGAAACTTATTCTGCGTGTAGTCAGTCATTGTTGCCAGTTCAGAGTTAATGGTGGCCAAGTACTGGTGCTTCTGAAGCTCGTCTGGTATTTCGTGTGTTGGAAACTTGACATTAACATCCATTTCTAGGTTTTGGTTACCTTTTTGTGCTATTAGTTGTTCACTCTGGTAAACGAGTTTATCCATTTTCGCTTCATGCTCACTAGCTACGTGGACAAACTGCTTTGTATCCTGAACGTCAGATTTGGAAATGGAATGTAATCGTTCAAGGGTGTGTGCAATTTTTGGAAATTCTACGAGTTTAGTATCCCTTATAGATTCTAATGGAAATTCTTGTTTATCACATTCTGTTAAAAACCTTATTTGACTTTCTGCAATCTCCGTTAGTCCTTCATGTAAAATACTCTTGGCTTCGAACTCTTTAATACTTTCCGTTATATTGAATACTACGGACTCATGCTCTAGGAACTTGGCCGTTGTCGACTTGACATTTTCAACTGTTGGTAAAATTTCTGCGTCTCCTTGCCTTTCAAAGACCTTTGCCATATCTGAGATTGTGCGCTTTGAGCACTTCTTTTCACACACGTCTTCCAGGTTTTCAGTACTGGTGCTCGTCTTTTCCGTGGAAAAAACGGGCGTTTGCACTTTTTCTGGTATGCGCTTAGAGCCCAAACCATCTAAAATCAAATCGGCTTCGCTTAAAATCTGCTGGTCTATGGACGAAACATCAGCTTTACGGTCTTGGGTCGATCGTTTTCGAGGACTAAAAGGCTTTGCCTCTAGACTCGCAGTGGGGTATCTCCGTTCAATGTCCTGCACGACTTCCCTAACCTTTGGTAAAACTTCTATGACATCCGTATCTTCTAAGTCTAAGTGCTCCTCAACAGCTTCAGTTAAAATCTTTGCAGGTACCTGTTCTACTTCCCTATTTAAATCTATTACCTGTTCTGTTAAAGTCTTTTCCGTTTTATATAAGTCTTCAGCTACCACAAAGGACTTGCGCTTCTCACAAACTTTTTCACAAACTTCTTCATCAATCTCTTTAAGGCCAATAGCCATGGCCTCTATAGGTGAAATCTTTACCACCTCAGCGGGCGGCTCACACCTGGTCAACTTTTCCAGGGCCAAATCAGCTGACGTAAGTATTTGCCTTTCTAGCTCTACTACATCTGGTTCTTTATCATCTTCATGAGGCTGCCGTTTCTGCACTGTAAATGGAATAGCCGACACCACTGTACCGCAGATCTTATCCTCAATGCTCTGCACCACCTCTCGCACCACTGGCACATTGTCACCTATGTATTTGGGAGTGACAGCGGTTTGCTTGCCAATTGAATCCACTGATTCTGTGCTGCCACTGCTTTCCAAACGCATTATCTTGCGTCTGACATCACCACAGCCCATTATTTGCTCTAAGTACTCCCTATCACTGGCAGTTTTCTCTGCTTCTGCATCTACTTCTACTGCGGGCTGATCCTTTAGCTCCTTCTTCAGCTGATCTTTCTCTGGAATAGTTAAGTCTACTTTGGTGCGATCTATTTGTGCTGTCAGGGTCGTCGTTGTTGTCATCTTCGGGGTTTGACTACTTGTACTCATTTCTGTAAATGAGGTAGTGTCTTGTGAGTACAATTTTGGAATATCGGGGAGAGCTACCACACTATTAAGCAGCTTATCAGGTTCATCTGTTCTTGTAAAGGTTTCGGTTTTTACATTATGAACACTGAAGTGCTCTGTTTGAGGCATTCCGGGGATGGCAAAAGAGGGTTTGGTTAGAAGTAGAGTGGAGTAGAAAACATGGCAATATAAACACAGTTAACACCAATTTAAAATCATACCATAGGCTCTTTATGGTGGGTTAGTCTATGTACACAGTGCAATTGAGCTGCCAACTTACATACATACGTACTTACAGGTCGGTACATACATATGCATATATTCTTTCTACAAGCTTTACGCCAAAAACCCAGCAGCAGGCACAAACATGCACTTAATGCTTACTTTGTAGTATTTAGTTGAGAAGCGAAATCAAAATATCTGTTTCGCATTTAACAGATGCCAGATGGAGCTTAGCTAAACCGACCCAACATGAACTTGGGATAGGAAAAACTGAGCTTCATTCAGATACATACAGATGCTGCATATGAGGTCGTGGATTATTGGCCCGTTTCTGCTTGCTTGGATGCTGCACAAAACTTAATGCTTCGAGTAAAATTCATGAGCTGAGCTGATTACGTTTGCATATTTTTGTTTCGCAAATACTTAAGCAATGTTTATGTTGATATTGAAATCAAAAGGGAAAATAAGCTAGTATTGCAAGTTTAAGAACAAACCACGACATCATATGTCACATACTCGTACGACATTTAACGTGATCTATAAGCAACCAATTACATTAAAAAGCACGCTGGGCTGGTGGGTCTGGGTGCAAACAAATCATTTATTGATTATACAGTGAGGCTAATATAATTGTGGCTGTTGGTTGTAAATTCGCAAATAATGACAAATAGTACGAATACGATTTTGATATGCTATATACTATATAGAGATGCTACAGTGAGATCTGGATGTGGATCGACTTAACATTCAGTTATAGTACACTATTATGCTAATATATATAGTAAGAATATGCTTTTTCGTTAAGGATTGATAAAGTTACGAAAAGCAACAGAACACATAATTATTTGCGAAAAACAAATCAAACATAAACATTGCAAACTGAAGGCCATGGTTGTTCATTGGAGTGTTCTTCGATGAATCATTGAATTTCATATGGAGATCGAAAGACGGCTGGTGGTCGCCCAGCTCCTTGCTGATCCCAATATGGGTGAGGTTTCAAATTGGTTTTGTTCAATTTCGGAAATCCAAAAGTATGCCAAAAGTGTTTATCTTAATGAAAAAAATCTTAGTAATTGCTAAACGAATGTTAATATAAGTAGTATTGGAGATTATATGCGTTGGCTTATCCATAGATCACATCTATAGGCCGATTGAGTACGAGTATAGTAAACAAGGTAATTACATAGGTTAACACAAATCGAATTATTTAAATTGTAGCTTGCAGTAGTTCAATGAAAAACATAAACTCAATTGCTTAAATATTTGTTTAAAATTGCAAACGTAATTGGTATACCATGAGAGTTGAGAGGACAACAATGAGAGAGACCTATCAGAAAACGATACCCATCATAGATGTATAAACATAGGTCCTAAAACTGTGGCAACTTTTCAAATTGATTGTTTTTATACATGAGAACTTACCATTAAAATACAATAGACTTAAAGTTACTTTAGTGTTTGGTTAAGTTTATTTTAAATAGTTTATTCCGTTGCGCATTGAATGAACCACAATCACAAATCAACACTTAGGTGCTTCCGAAAAGTTACTCCTCCTGTTCCTGAATAATTTCTTTGCAACACAAAATAACACAGATAAACTAGTAGTCGCTACTTTGGCCGAAGAGACGTGGCTCTGTCTAAATTCCGAGTCGCGCGTACTTGGGAAATTCAAATTCGTGACTAAATCTGCCCGAAAAGTGCGGCTATTGCTGTACTGCAAGAATGCCAGAAGCAAATTAAATTAGGTATATGCCACCGCTCGGCTTTCGCTAGCTTTTTGCCCCCTGGCCCTATGACATAACTGCGCAGGGGTCGGGTTTTTCACCACCCTGCGGTGGATTGAAAAGCCGTAAATTATATAAAGAGCCCCCGGGAAATGCTATTAACTGTGCATATCTTCTGGGGGCTAACGGGCTAATAGGCTTTCTCCGGTCAACAAGAAAGTATATACGAGCGGAGAGCGTTTCGAGAACAAGTTAAAGTTAGTAACGCAAAATCGATTGGAGGTTCGATCTATCGATTGGCTGGCCCACTGACATTGACACCTCCGAATGTTATGCATACACTGCGCAGAACGGCGCCAGACAGACAATTAGCCATGTTTCTACGACCTTTCGTCAGTGTTAACGTAATTAGATTATCTGGAAACTTAGCGACATTCGCTTCGGTACAAGTGAATATATGCGTGATTTCGTGGTCGTATTCATTCAATGCGCTTCAGTTTGGCGTTTGTTATCTCAGGATTGAGAAATCCTCTGTTACTTTCGATTTATGGCACGTTTGCTGCCGCACTTACAGACTTTTTTGATTAAGATACACACAGTAGCAGTTTGCCGTTCGTTTTTATAGATACAGTTAGCTAACTAATAGTTCTTAGATCGCAATCGTTTAATGGTTGAATGGTACTTTGCATACAAAAAGCCTTTAGACTTAAATAAAGACGAAATGTAGAGGAACATAGAATAGTGGGAGTAACGGAATGGTTTAAAACTGAAAGACAGTTCAAGAAACACTACGTATTGTGGCAAAAAACAACTGAAAATATTCAAGTTAAAAGAAGGGGTGTACAAAAATAAGGTTACAGATTTATATTCTTTTACCGAAAAAGGCAAAAATAGGAAAATATATAAAGTAAGTTTACATAACAATTACAAATTGCATAGAAATTGAGCATAGAGGCAGCCACTCATTTCAGGATTCGCACTTACCAATTTTGGTAATGGCAGAGACGCGTTCAAGGGTCGACTCTGTGGTTGTGTGCAGAGTGGTCACCGTATCAGCCAGGTAATCTGTGTTTAAATGGCTTGTATATTCAACAGATTTATGATACATTTTTAGTATAACAACTTACCACGTTCTAAGCTGATCAGTTCTGGCTCCTCGTTCTGCTTATCGGTTTTTGTGTCACTTGGGGTGGGTGGTGGAGTCTGGGAGTGCGGAATTTCGCTCTCTAAAGAAGTGTGAAATAAAAGGTAAGGTAAGACAAGGTGGTCATAGGTTTTCGATAACTTACCCATTTTCTTGAGCTCATCGGATATTTCAATCACTCCCACGCTCATCTTCTTGGTAATAGTTTCACCAACCGACTTGCAGAACTCGGCATCGGTCAGTGACTTTCTTGGCTCAACGGATATTGGAGCAGTTAGCCCCTCCTCTTTGATAGACTCTCTCAGTGGAACGGTGGCCCGCTTGCCAAAGGTGTCACTATCATATTCAGTCGCCAGATGCTGTGGCTCCTGGGTCACCACACTGGTAGTCACCTTTGGAGTGTCGAATGGTGATGCATTATCCCCTACTGGAGCCGCTGACTCAATGCCATCGATAAGTTTATCTGTGGTCTTGGCTTCACTGCTGATGACCTTTGACGGCAGTTGTGTCTGCTGTTCCATGATCAGGAAATCCTCTGTAAGCTGACGTTCATTAAGTGTCTTCGGCTGCTTGGGCTGCTCCACAATTTGCTCGGCGGCCTTCGTCACCTCATCAACAAGCGTTTTGGCAGGCTCAGAAAACAGTTGCGTTTGCTGCTCCATGCTTAAGAAATCAGCGGTAAGCTGTCGCTCATTCAGAGGTTTCTTTTCAGTCGCCTTCACAGGCTCAGGTTGGATCAAAGGCTTTGGAGTTTCCTCGATAAGGGACTTTCTGGGCTCCACCACTGGTATCTTACTGGCTGGCGGTGAAGCTTTCACTGTGATGATTGATTCCGGTTCCGATGCACTCGTGGATGTCAGACTGGATTCAATGGGTTTCTCAGAGGCTTGTGGAATGCTCGGCAGTTGGGATTGCTGTTCCATGCTAAGGAAATCGTGGGTAAGCTTGCGAGCTTCGGCGGTAGTGATCTGCTCCTCGATCTTGTGGAATGTTTCAACGACCTCGGCCACCTTTTCAGCCACCTTATCCTCTTTCGGTTGAACCTGCGCTAGCGGTTTGTCTTCGACCTTGACTAAGTCCTCCAATTTGCTCGAAACTTCGGAGGTCTTCTCAGACTTTACAACCTTCTCCTCGATCTTGTGGAATGTGTCAAGCAGCTCGGTTACTTTTTCGGTGACAGTCTCGGCCTTGGCGATAATCTCAGACTGTTCGACGGGTTTCTCCTTGAGCTTTTCGTCACCCAGACCTGCGGTCATAATGGTTGCCGTAGAGGCCACAACATCATCCAGGATCTTTGACTCCCGGTCGACCTGCTTCTCCACTGATTTTCTTGGCTCCACCTTGGGAATCTTGCTGGCAGCTGGAGTTGCCTTGGGCTCGGCAGCTAGTTTCTCGCCCTGCAAGAAGTCTTGAGTGATCTTTCGTGCATCCGCTTCGCCAACCTTCTGAGCTTCGGTAGTAATTGTCTTTACTGGAATTTTTGAGATTGGTTTCTCGGACTTAGCCTCTATGACTGAATCAATCTCGGGCTCAACTGTAGCACGTGGCGCTGCTGTGGGCTTCATTGAGTCATCGCTGGGCTTACGAGTGAACTTCGGGATCTGGGTTTTGGGCTCGCCGCCATGGAAGTCGTATTTAACCTTTTTGGCTTCGAATTCCGCAATTGTTTCCTCAATACTTGAGCTCTCGATGACTTGGACATGCTTCACTTGCTCCTGAGTCACGGTCTTGGCCTCCTCCAGGTTTTTAATGGTCTCGCTGACCTTTGATGATTCGACAGTAGACTGAGTTGGCAGGATAGCAGTAGCCTCCGCAGGTTTGGTACTTTCAAAGGAGCTAATAATGTTTTCAACCTTCTTGCTAGCAATTTCGGTCACCTCGCTTATGACTTGCTGGACCTCTTTGACGGTTTCCTGTGGTACTGAGGCCAGAGGGCTGGTCTTCTCTTTAACCTCCTCCACGAACTTCTCGTGAACTGTTGCGGTGGTGGAAGTTACTGGAAGTTGGCTGCGTTTTTCGAACTCCAGGAAGTCCTCGGTGATATCACGGGCTTCTTGACGGGTAATCGTCGTCACCCGACTGAAGGTCACGCCATCCTTTTCCTTCTTCTCGGCGGCACTGATGTCCTGCACAATCTTGTCAGTCTGATCTGGGGATGATGGCTGGTCTTCCTCCTCTGAGCTGCGCCCGGATGTCTTAAACTTGTGCGTCAGTTCCTTGTCGAACTCGCTCTTGCTCACTTCGGTTGAATCCATCTTGCCCATCTTCATCTTGATGACTTGATCGGGTACAGTGGTTGTCTTGATGATTACGTTATCAGCAGGCAATTGCATCAGTATCTCGGATTCGTGGTGTGCCTTCTTGTCCTCGATAAGACTTTTCCGCTTGATTTCGGTTATTTCGCGGGTGATCTCTCTCTTCTGGGTTGAGGCCGGAATGGATCGTTCTACTGACAGACGCTTGACAATCTTCTCACGCCGTTCGGCAACCGTTCGCTTGGCAGCTTCCTCATCGGACTCGGATTCCTCGACTTCCTTCTCCTCGGCAGAGTACTTGACTTCCTCGCGTTCGTTGATTTGCTGGATTCGCTTGCCTGAGGGGAGAGCTTAAAAGGGTTATTCAATGGGAAGATGTTCAAAATGAGTTAGCCGTTTATGGTTATAGAGATCCAAAACCTAGTTAGATCTTCATAACTGACTGGCAAGATTGCATTGTAAGTGGTTCTGCAAATTTTACTTACTTTCTCTGCGAACCAGCTCCTCTACGGACTCCGAGTTTTTCATGATGTCCGTTTCATCGAACTCGCGCGAATGGGATAGTCGTCCACTTTTGCACTTCTTCATAATGTCGTCCCGTCCAATGTTTTTGAGAGCCGTTTCCAACAAAAGGATATCGTAGTTGGGTTTGTCCTTATAGAGGCGGATCATGCTCTGTGCCTGCCTGGCAATGCTATCGGTGTTTTGGTTAATGATCTCGTCAATTTCCTCTGCATTGATGCCAATCTCCGGGGCCAGCTGAATCCAATCCTTACCCAAAAGGTTGGACAGATCAACTATGCGAATGTCGCCAATGTAATGGTCATTTTGATGCTTGCTCAAACTGAACATCGAGGTCCTGTATGCAGAGGTGACTCGGTCCGAGAAGGCGGTAGTGGAGTCGGGTATAACGGCCTCCGGAAGTACGATGTTTAAGATGCAGATGGGCTGTTGTGGAGGCTCACCCTTGGCTACCTTCGGTTCTTTCATGAACAAGGTGCGACCAACTATGTCAGCATGCTGATCCTTAACGCGAACTGTGAAGGGCAGACGGTTCTCGCGGAAGGCCTTGAACTGCAACTGCAGCTGGTCGCCCGATTTGGTCACGGGTACCAAGTTTCCGGCCATCTCGATGTACTGAGGCTTACCCTCGAGCACCTCAACATCACGGCTCTTGGCCACTTCTGTGTAGAGCTCATGTTTCTCCAGGGTTTTATCCTCACGATCGTCGGTCATGCAGAAGACTCGTAGTCTTGCCTCAAAGGGTTCGATCTTCTTGGCGAACACCACAAACTTGGCAATGAACGGTACATGAATAACTTCCCTGGATTCAGAAAACAATACAATTTAATAAAGAGCTTAAAAAAAATAGATAGAAAACCACTCACTTGTACAGCTCGGTGGCCATTTTGGTGGCATCCGAGATATTGCGGCAATCCATCAGCCAAAATCGAGCTGACACAGTGGTCGTAAAGGAGACACAGTCGTTGACAAATGTCAGGGGCGTGGAACCGGTGACATCCTCCCATTGAGCTCGGGACGGTCCGCCTAGCGATGGATTAGTCAGATGGAAGACGGAAAACAGAAACGTTCAATTGCGGGTCTCATGTCTCGGACAATGGGGTTTACGCATAGACTACATATATGTATGTAAAAACTCTTGAAAATCTCTACTGTTGTCTCATTAGCAGATAAGTATTGAATTGAATTCCAAAATTGTTGAACTAATTTCACAAACGAAACCATAAACTCAACACAAAAACTTGTTCAGAGAGAATTACGATTGTGTGTGTTAATTACAAAGCAATTAGATGGAATAGGAGTAGTATTGAAAAGTATTATTGTATACAGTTTATGGTATAGTATTAAAATCGTATTTAGCGATAAGTATTAGAAATATTTAGTATCTTGTTGTTATCTATGGCATGGCATGAATGTGAGGATGTAGATGGGGTCTGTTGAATGTTAAAAGTGGTGTGTATTGTGGGTTTTGTGTGTGAGTTGATGAGGCACTTTGATTTCAAGCATATATTTGGTTATTTTGGTAGGGCTGTAGCATTTACAGAGGTACAAGTACTAGGGTACTTGTCACGCTTACTTTGAAGCCGTTTCGAAACAACATGCTTAATATTTTGGAAAAACAAATTTTTGGTTTATCTTGAATGGAAAATAAGTGAGCGTGTCACGTGTTTCTTGTTGTAAATGTGTTCAAATCAACAAAAGTCCCAACAAAACAGAACCAAGAAACAAATAAACAAATAATACGAATCTAAACAGAATTGAACAGGAATGTATAAAAGAATCGTCAACTTGTTGATAAATTTATATGTTTATATTTGTATGGTACATTATCAAACACTGTTTGTAATATGATATTATTGAGCTTGCCACAGCATTCGCTTGACTTTAGTTTTCCTCAATTGTTGACATTTATTCGGTTTCAGAAAAGTTCTCTTTGGTGCCACAAACAGTCGAAATTCTAAATTGATCATTCATATTTGGTTTACTTTTTTTGGAAAAGCAATAGGTATAGATAATAGTTCTGCTTTGTTTTAAACGAAATAATAGCAATCAACTCAAAGATTTAACGCTCATTAAACAACAGATAAACAAACTACAATCAGGTGCACGGCATTCCAACCGAAAACGTTAATTAAAAATTAAACTTAAAGCGTTAGAGCCTTAACAAGTATGATACGTAAGTATGGAATAAGAATTAGATTTGAATCGGTAACTGAACAACTAAACAAATCAAGGTAATCTGGCACAATCTTGGCCTTGCTTTTATTACGGTTTCAATGGCCCAAAGAGCAACTTTAGTTGGCGTTTAGTTTAGCTTACAAAACCTACAAACTCTTTAATGAAATTGTGCAGTTTAGTTATATATTTGGCAATAAACCGCGTGCAGTCAGAAAGTCGCTTAGGTAATTCATATTGTTGTATGTTAGAGGGAGAGAGGTTAGACAGAGAGAAAGAGAAGGCGGCAAAGACGTTTGCATGACAAGCTTAAGGTTCGTAAAAGTAAATTGGAAAGTTTGCTTACTTCAAAAACTAAGCTGCTTTGAGCTGGAAGCGGTATCTTGGCTTAGAGAACATTGCCAATCGAGTGGGGTCTTGAGCAGGCCCCACCAAACAGAAAGTTAACCCTGAGCATCTGGTTAATTAACCCAAAGACGCAGCGCAACCCGAATTAAAGCAAAGAATTCAACGAAACTTAGGAAATTAAAGGGGCAACTTAGGAACAAACAACTCAAGAAAACTGAATGATAACCAAGGATTTAAGGCATAGAAGTTGAAAAATAAATTGTTTGAAATATTTGCAATAGTTTCTTAACAAGAGAATTTATCATAAGTAAAATATGCAGAATTTTCAAATTTTTTTTGTCAAATTTTCTTCTTGGATTTGCTTGTTGCCTCATTTTGCAACACAATAATATTGTTATTCTTAATATTTTTTTGGTTTTTGTTTGGCATAGAACGAAACAACTAAATATGAACAAATAACGATTTTATTTTGTAAACAGTTTCAATTTGAAACTTCATACATGTTTGTGAATTTCTGAATTTTTGTATTATTTATTTTAGTATTTGTGACGTTTGAGTCAGTTTTAGTTACCTTTTAGAGACCTTTTCCGAAACACACCTTCAATGGATTGAGAAAACAGAACGGAATGCGTGCACACGTATGCATTGACGCATTAGTACGAAATTATAGAACAATTAAATAGGTTTTCAATCAAGAATTGAATTGAAGTTTGTTTTGTTTGGGTTTGTTTTTGCTCAACACGAAATCGAAATCGAAATACAAATCGAAATCATCGAAAATTATCAGAACGAACTCAAGCGGTAAGGAACTGAAATCGAACAAAGGGTAACGGAACGAACACCGTTTGGCACAATGAAGAGACACACTGAACATGACACTGATCTGGGTTGGGATCGAGCTGAAGTACGAGATATAGGTGTGGAGTATCTGTATCTGTGGCTGTATCTTTTTCTGTATCTGTGTAGTGGTGAGGGTGTCTGGAATGTATGAACGTATCGGCGGTGATGGTGACGAATGCTCTACAACTGTCTAGATTCCAAAGGAGTTACGAAAGAATACGATACGATGCGGGCTACTGCCGGAGCCACCCGTTCGAATAATTTATGTTTACGCATCTACTACACAGACACAAGCACTATGTTTCAGTTCGGATCGGATGGGACCTACAATCGAATTTTTCTCAATTCAATCTCAATCTCATTATCATTACAATTTCAATTTTTAGTAAGGGAGTTCTCCCCAGAGTTTTTTCTTTAGATTTGGGCAATTTCCACTGTACAGGTTTGGATAAAGTATATATGGCATGTATGGTATATATATAGTACTACGGTTTAGCACATGAGATACTTTTATTCTAAATGTTATAGACAACCAAAACGAACAAAGGAAGCACGAACAAAACTCAACTCAACGAAAGCATATATAGTTACACTCAAGAAATCATAAATAGGAATGAAGTAAATGAAGGCCTGAGACAGATTTATATAGAGATAGATAGAGAGAGATAGGATGAGGAAGTATGGGTATCAAGGAGGATCAGTAATACTCAAAAACATCAACTAACGGAATGGAAATGTAAGTGGATATACTTCGTAATAGTCATAATGGTAATTGGTAATTGGTAATTGGTAATAATAACTGCTTGGATCACATCGTACAAACAACACAAAAGACCGGCTCTTAGCTGGCGGATCGGTAATGGATCGGCTTGGACTTACCTGTTATGGAGCATAGCAGTCGCAGGGTGGGCGTGTTGCCCGAGTACTGATTGATCATCCCCTGGCTGTGAGCCTTGGGGGCGGGCATGCTGAGGGTGATGGCCTTGTGGAATTTACGGCGCCGCGGCTCGACCGTAACAATCGGTGACACGGCCACGCCGCGACCCAAAAGCTTGGCGGTGAGATCGGGATCGACCGGCTGGGCCTAGAACGAGTGTAACGGATTTCGATTGGCACTATAGACAAAAATCGATTTACCGGCCACGCTTATACACAATACACACAATCATGAGATGAACGAAAAAAACGGAAACTTAACCAAAATTTACAAACAAAAGTTTACATACGAAATATATGCGCTTCTTGTCTGTCATAAGGAAACAAGAAAAACAAATAAAATGAAATGAGTCTTTTGGGCTAAATGGTGAACATTATCGATTCGATTACACTTAGTTTTTCAGTTTTTGTGCTTTTGTACAATGCTTATAAGTCGGATGTTTATGCATATCGTTTTCATGGTTGTTGTATTGAGCAATTGCATGTTTCAGTTAAATTACAGCATAAGTTAACTACAAACGATAACAATGTTCGAGCCCATTTATGTCCCAATAAATTTAGTTATCAAAAAAACTCTGGCTACAACTGAAGAGCTAGAAATGTAACGCAAAATTGTATATAGAATGTACAGAACTCAGATAAGGAAAGTAAAATTATTGAAAATGTAGAAATTTACAGATATCAGTTAAATGCAAATAAAACGTGCGAAAATTTTAACTCATGAGTGGGGCCATTATAAAATCGTTTTTTGCTTACGGCATGGCTAAAATGTTACAACTTCGTTAGGCACTCCAAACCGGACCCAATTGTAACTCTCTAAGTATTTTCACCTCTTCTCTTTTCTTTTTTGAAAAAGCAATTGAATGAAAAGTAATCAAATGAAAAGTAATTAAAACAGTTTCATTGGCATAAAGTTTTTGTCGAACTAAATTTATTGGGTAGTACTGCATTTCAGAGAACTTGTAAGTATAATCTTATGCATAAGTAGATAATAAGTATAAATAATGTATGAATAGTTAAGAGTAGTTAGCATATAGGTAAATGTATCATAATATTTGATATATGTATTTCATATGTCTTTTCAAGTTGGACAATTTTTTATGCTCTCGCTGTTTATAAGCTTGCCAAAAATCTGCGATCTAACAGACTTGGCTTGATCCATGATCAAATTCAATCGGTTCATATAATTGTATTATTGTATGTCACTGTTTTGCATAGCATTCGTGATTAGGTTAGCATGAGGATACCGATTCCACAATGGCTCCATAAGCAAAGTGCCGTAAAGTTATTAAGTGTGTCTCAATATAATCAAACAAAGTGCATATATTTCATACGAGTAATAACATTTGGAAAAGTCCGCTCCGAAGATCGTTTACAATGGTTATAATTAGGTATAATAGTTCCATTCGGACTACTGTAAACGAACTTCAGGCAGTTGGATCTACCATATTTCACTACACAGGATTTAGGGGCGGGTTAACATAGACGGTTATTAGTTACTGGTTATAGGAGTACTGGTTATAAATGCTCATTTTCATTTTGGAAAACATCTTTTGCATTCTTTTTTGATATTCTTGGGGAAGTTGTAGATTAAATGCTCGAGTATATATGCCGACCGATAACGTATTTGTTTTGGATTTTTTTTTTTCGTATTCTCAGTTTAAGATTAGATATAATTGCCCTGGTTGATTTACCAAATGAGCGAGAAGCGCTTCTTCTTGGGCACATGGTTAACGCTTATTTTGCGTAACTTCTCAGGCGCAACGCCCTTGCGCGGTTTAAAGAGGTTTACCTGTAAGCCGACTTTGATCTTCTTGGTGAGGGCTCCCTGTGGGAAGACGGCCTGCACCTGTGGCACCACGGTGCTGGACACCATGCCGCCCTCCGGTCCAATAGCATGGACCTCCTGGCGGATGCGCGACACGACGGCAAAGTACTGGGGGAAGTCATAGGTGACGAAGCGGCAGACATGGTTGCCAGCCTGCTCCTCCAGTTGGGCAATCTCTGTGGCGAAGAGTTCCAGTTATAGACCAGGGCTACGATAATACTACATTCTCACTCACCCTCTGGCTCAAAGCACTGCTGCAGGACATCGTGTATGATCTCCTCGGAGTTGTCGATGGTGTGCTCCCGCCATGTTTCCCCGTTGTCCGAGCGCAGGATTATGATCTCGCGCTCCTTGCCGCGCAGCGAGGCAAAGTGCGGCACCTCCATTATCACCGGTCCAATGAACTTGGTGGAGCAAGGACCCAGTTCCAGGACACGACTGGCCAGGGCCTCACCCTCCATCAACTGGGGCGGATGCATGGTGCGCTGCGGCTTCACATAGCGACAGGTGACCCTGGTCGGCTGACAGGTGGACCTCGAGGGGATGATCATGCGGACGCCACTGTGGCGACAGCCTCGCATGGCTCCTCCACGGGCATCGACCAGGAAGGAAACCAGGAAGCTCTTCCAGCTCAGCTTGCGGCTGCAATAGAACCGGGAAATAGTTGTAAAACTCAAAATTGACCATGATATGATTAAGATATAATATTTTAAAAATAGATATCCCTCTTATCAAAGCTAAGACTGAAATAAGTGGTCATAGTTTCATCTTTTCTTAAAATCAATCATAATGAATTTAATAGAAGATTAAACTGAGTACAAACAAATCAATTTTAATTGGGGGCTTTAAAAAGAATGCCTCCTCAATCTAAGAATGATTTGAATATATAATCAATATATCAAACAAAAAAAAAAGGAACCAAAAATATTTCATAAGGATCCCAGCCCAAAAACTCACCCCACATGCGGCGGCTCATCGTGACCAGATCCATTGGCAATGTACACCCCATCCACAGTGGCCTTGGGCGAGCTGCCGTACACCTGGGTCTTGTGGGGACTGATCACCTCCTCGCCGATGGTGGGCGGAACTCCAGAGGCATACTCGGTGCTCTGGGTCATCCGGTTGGAGTCCATGCGCTCGTCACGGGTCACATCGATCGGTAGCGAGTCGTCGCCTAGGGATTTCATTTCGTCAACGGTCAAATAGCGGTATGGTTGATCTGATAGCATATTGTCTTCGCCTAGAGTTTTGATTCGATTTCGATGCGATTCGAGGGCATTCCGCAGCATTTGCATTTTGTTTAAGCACAAGACAGTCCAATTGGCCATATAGCGTTGTAGTTGTTGTTGATATTATTATTGTTGTTTGGTGTTGTTGGTTGTTGTTAAAGTGTTGGAATTGTTGTTGATTGGTTGGTTTTTGTTGAGTTGCAGATGAGAGCGCAGTGCATTGAAAGTAGAAGAATGCAAATGAGTTTGATTTTAGTTACAAAATTTCGTAAGTTGTACATGCTTCATTTTATAATCGTTATAATAAATATATATATATATAGGGGTGATATAAAGCTAGCATGACCATTAGATAGGAGCATATTACATGGATACGATAACAGTGGTGGTATAGATACAGACACAGAAGAGTACATTTTTCATGCCGCGGTTTCAAGCAAATTCGGTTTTTAATATCCTCAACCTAATTTTGACAACCCAGTCAAAAGACTCTAGGCTTATTTGGGTAATGTATTCTATAAAGTCAGATGTTTGTCTATAATTATTTCGAAGATTGGTTTTTTGATTTTGATGAGTACTGTTACAGAATATATTCTTTATTGTGTTTTAAAATTGATAAATTTTTAACTTCAGTCATAATTTGGTTCTATAGGTTATTGAAACGGAATTCCATTCCCTAATACTTTCGTTTCCCTATTATTTGGTCATATAGTTTTTAAGATTATTTTAGATAAATATATAGAAAAGCAAGAAGTGAGTTGAGAGTTATTACTCCTTTGCCCAATTACAACGTCAAGAAATAGTTTACATTTATACATCGTAGCCCCATATAAAGTGCCATGAGTACGCCAAACTTTGGTGGCCAATTCAGCAAGCCAATCACGATCCAATCACAGCCAATTAGTGCACTTTATAACGGCCAGCACTTAAAATAGGAATACGAATACGAGTATACGGTTACGGATACGGATAGGGTTTTCCAAGTGGCCCTGGGCACTTACTGGAGACACACAGTTTGTCGCCCTGGTAGTACGGCAGATAGACCGGGCCAAAGCCGTACTCGTAGCCAGCGTCCAGTTGCCAGTTAGTGTCGCCTGACACACACATGAAAGAGCGGGGATTCACTTAAGACTATCGTAAACTATGTAATCTATGGGTAGTGCTCAGTGTCTGTGTGCTGGCTGACTAGCTGGGCGGTGATCTTGTGATCTTGTGGCTTATGGTTAGGGTTTAAGTGTACTATTGGGAAATACGTACCGCCCTCTTCCTCGGAGTCGGACATGAAGGACTCGTGCATGGCCTCGGGAGCCACCACGCGGTACTTCTCCTCGGCTTGGGCAGGAGCAGCGGCTGCCTCGTCCTCCTTGGTGATGGTCTTCAACGAGTCCAGGACACTAATGTAGCCCAACTTGCGGGCAATGTGCAGAGGCGTCTGTCCGTTGACCGTCTGGGCATTGGCATTGGCCTTGTGCTCCAGGAGGAGGTTGACAATATGACAATGGCCCTGCTGGGCGGTCTGATGCAGTGGAGTGTATCCAATCGAGGTGGCCGCATCCACATTGGCTCCATTCTGGAGCAGGAAACGCACCATGTTGGCCTGTCCAAAGTGAGAGGCGACATGCAGGGGAGTGTAACCCGCCTTGGTGGCCATGTCGATGTTGGCTCCATTCTTCTCCAGAATCTCGGCCACATTTACATTATCCTCCTGGGCACACAGGTGCATGGGTGTCAGGCCATTCTTGGCCGGGTGATTGACGGCGGCCTTGTGCTCGATGAGCAGATTGGAGATCTCGGCATGACCCTCCTGGCTGCTCAAGTGCAGCGGGGTGAATCCGGCTTTGCTCTCGGCATTGGCCAAGGCACCGTACTCCAGCAGGGTAGTGGCTATATCCATCTGATTCTTTCGCGCCGCAATGTGGAGCGGGGTGTGTCCATTCTTGGCCGTGGCATGTGGACTGGCTCCCTTCTCCAGGAGCAACAGGGCAACCGCCTGGTTGTTATAGTGGCAAGCCACATGCAATGGAGTGACCCCATTCTTGCCCTGCGCATCCACATCCGCCTCCTTCTGGAGCAGCAGCTGGGCCACCTTGATGTGTCCATACTTGGCCGTCAAGTGGAGTGGCGTGAATCCCTTCTTGGTGGCGGAGTCCAAGGCGGCGCCGTTCTCAATCAGCACAGCGGCCACCTAGAGAAAGTTACAAAGAAGTCACATAAATAAGATTACCAGGTAATCTCACAGCAATACGTGCCAAAAATCAAATTACCAAAATTTCTCACAAAAAATCATAATACCAAAATACTTAATAAAAAAGAGTTGCAACATTTATTTGAAAACAAAACGCCAAAAAGAGACAACAACACAAGAGTCAAAGAAACAACTCATAATAATAATACCGATTCAAGTACAAAACCAAGAGGCTGGATAAAAAACTTAAAATCAAATGAAAAACTCCCGATGGCGTATCCAAAAAAGCTGCATCAGGTAAACGGTGTCGATGTGGTCGGCGATCTTTTTCGAAATCAGGTCTTTTACCTCATCCTGGCCCTCCTTGGCGGCGATGTGCAGTGCCGTGTACAGGTCCTTGGTAGTGGCGTCCACCTGAGCGCCGTGCTGGAGGAGGAGCATCACGATGTCCACGTTTCCTAACCGTGAGGCGATGTGCAGCGGCGTCTGCTGCTCCCGGGCACGGGCGTCCACCTGGGCGCCATTGCGCAGCAGGATGCGAATGATGTCGGTCTGGAATGGGTCAGGTGGAATAGCAAAGAGCGTTACATATGTATCTACAGATGTGGCAATTCCTAACTTTTAGGGGTGTATTTTAGTTATAGGTTTACTACGTATACCACACAAGACTTCTTTGAAAATACTAAGCTAGCAACGTAACAAATTGGATAGTATAACGACCTTTTAGGGAGTCGTTATATAAGAATGTGGGAAGAAAACATGATTTTGGTTTCCATCGGAATATCTTATTATAAAGATGTTAGTTCTATATCGATATATGGGGCTCATAACTTGTGTAGTTTAAAAAAAATAATAGGAAATAAATATAATAAGAAATATTTAGAAAATGAGATATAGCTGTTAATATCCCGTGTTAAGAATGTTATTAATCAAGATATTATCAGAAAATAAATTAATGTACTAAATCGGTTAGTAAAAAAGAAGAAGTTAAGTCTCGACAATAATAATTTCCCTAATTTTATTAGACTACTCAGATCAGATATCGTCAGAATAGGTATGTTTTAAAGTTTCTTACTGCATTTTAGCTATTTGTTCCAAAATAATTACTTTTAACAACCATTTTTTTTCTAAACCTAAACTCACCTGGTTAGCCCTGGCGGCCAAGTGCAGTGGAGTCTCGCCGCGCACAGTGGGCACATCGGGACTGGCATCGTGCTGCAGCAGATAGATGACGATGTTCATGCAGCCCATGAAGGCGGCCACATGGAGCGGAGTCAGTCCGCTCTCCGTGGTGGCACTGATGCTGGCCCCATGTCGCAGGAGCAGCTCCACCACCTTCAAGCGATTCTTCTTGCAGGCAATGTGCAACGGGGTGAACCCATTCAAGGCCCTTGCATTGGCGTCCGCATTCCGGTCCAGTAGAAGCTTAGCCACCCTCACGTGACCACAGTGGGCGGCCACATGGAGGGCGGTCAGATAGTCAACGGTCACCTCGTCGACGGGAGCACGATGATACAACAGGATGCGGGCGGCATCCACGTGCTCACCCTGGGCGGCCATATGGAGGGGTGCCAAGCCGTTCTTGGTCTTGGCAGAGATGGGAGCTCCCCTCTCGAGCAGCATGTCCACCACTTGCTCGTGTCCCGAGCGAGCGGCACAGTGGAGCGGAGTGAGTCCATCCCGGGTCTTGGCCTCGATGTTGCCACCCTTCTCCAGGAGCAGCGATACCATGTTGGTCTTGCCCCACTTGGCGGCCACATGGAGCGGACTGATGTTGTGCTTGGCCGAGTAGTTGACATCGGCTCCCTTTTGGATGAGCAAGTTGGCGATGTTCTGGTTGCCATAGTGAGAGGCAATGTGGAGAGGTGTGAAGCCCGACTTGGAGGTCACGTCCGGATTGTGGTCATTCTGGAAGGATGGGGTTAGATTCAGGTCAGTCGTTGTTTTCTTATTGAAGGTGGGAAAGTGATAGGAAGTGTAATCCTTAAGTGGTACTTACATCTAGCAGCAGGGTTGCTGCCTTGACATCGTCTTTTTTGGCGGCAATATGCAGCGCTGGAAGCCTGACCTTTCCCCTGGTGTCGCTCTCGAGGAGCACGGCGACCACCTTGTCGTGACCCTGCTGCATGGCCACCGCCAGCGGGGTGAAGCCATCCTCGGTGGCCAGACTCTGGTTGGCCCCGTTGGACAAAAGGAGACGCACCACCGCATCGTGGTTCTCCTGGGCGGCCATGTAGAGGGGAGTGAATCCATTCTGGGATTGCACATTCACGGAGGCGTTGTGCTCCAGCAGCAGCTTCACCACCTCCTCCTGCCCAGCCAATGAGGCGATGTGGAGGGCGGTGTTGCCCTTCTTGGTGGCACTGTCCACAATCGCCCCCCGACGAAGCAGTTCCGAGACGACGTGGATGTGGCCATCCTTGGAAGCCAGGTGCAGGGCATTTAAGCCATTCTGAGGGGAATTCATTGAGTCAGTAATCTACATTTGGGTATAGATATCATGTTAACTCACCGCATTGCTGGTATTGATGTCAATGTTGTTCTTCAAATGCTCGAGCACTCGCTCCAAATTTCCAGCGCGAGCGGCACGCAGAAAGGAAGTGTTTCCATCGCCCTAAAAAGTGCACAAACGAATTTTCAGTTAGATGGCTGTCTTTAATTACTTTTAGTTAATTATAAAATCAGTGGATTTTTAAAGCTCGCAAGTTTTTTTCACCAAAGAATCTTATTAGGAAGTTAAATATGTATATATTAATACATTTCAATTATTCGTTCACAAATTCTTCGTTTATTTTACACTTACGGCCGATTTCTCAATGTCATGTTAGCTTTACCCATTGAGTTTGGGCCGATTTCTCAATGTCATGTTAATCTTTTCGTTAAGCTAAATTTCTTTTTTTGAAACATTTAGTTTCTCAATATCATGTTAGTGTTTATCTGACTGAAAACTCTTAACTAGAGGCGAAGCTCTGGTTAAAATTTGACAACCGACAAAATAAAAATTACAAAGAGTGTTAGCCTACTCTTCTTTTTCAGGTTTTGAAAACTAAATTATCTAATAAATTCTGTAAAGATTTGTGGTTCGTAAATAAACATCCCATTGAAACAAAACGAATTTTTCTAGAGAACAACTGAACTTCATGTTAACTTTTTCTGACAAATAACCTGGAGCCTTATATTGATATTATAAAATGGGTCCTAATTTATCTGATAAATTGTAATTAGTAATTACCCTATAAATAGTCGGCTTGGATATGCAAAAGGTAAACTTCAAGGCTGTAAATAATTGGCTTTGGGCTGTATTTGCGTTTATTTTTGCACAGGTATCAAATGAGGCAAAGGTCAACAAGAAGTAATTGCCAGAAGGCTTATCAACAGCAGTGCAATATATCTTTGCCATGTTGCCCCGGAAACTTAACATCTACTTTTCAGTTAGTTGCGTGTCGGTTGCGTATTCATCACCTGCCGGGTGGGTGGCAATAAAAGGGGGACTCGGAGTTTTATAGATCGTTGCTAGGTTGCGCAACTCGAAGTTTGGTGTCCCGTCAGGCAGTACAATAGTTACATATTGCTATTATGCACCTGCTCGTTTCCTCAAGTTCAATCCACGATGCGGCGGTCAAGGCGAGGGGTCACCACCCGCTTTTCCGGCTTTGGGCGCAGGTGTACGGGTAATTCGGTCTAATGGCCAACGCCCACCCACCGAAGCAAAAAACCAATCACCCACCCACCAACTCAGCGGAGCCCAGCTGTCGATGGTGGTTTTGTTTATGTTTTTCTCCCCCAATTCTCTCCAGGATTTTCGATATCGAAAATGACGTCATGTCGCCGCGTTTTCCAACTGCAACTGGAAGTCGGCAAATCGGAAATTTTCGCACTGGAAGTGAGCGAAAAGTCGCTGGAGAGTGACCGCAGCTCAGACACCCGGTAGACCCGCTTCCTGGGCGCTAAGTCCCCTTCATATCCGCCCAATCCAATGCACTGCCCACGCATTCAACCACCCACCCACGAATCCACCCACCGTCCTTTGGCAAACAAGGAAGTGTGTGAAGGATATACTATACACAAGCGGCCCAAAAGGAAAAACTCATTTCACATGCCCTGGGCATACATACGAATTCTAAAGAACTTGTTTGCCCCGTCTACTTCCTGAACTCTGTTTGCTTGGCTGCACAGGAAAAATATATAGTATCACTAGAAATGCTTATTTTTTCTTTTACCATATGAATGGTATAATTACAAAGGGAGATGAATGAGATATAAGAAGTACACTTTACGCGATTGTAAGTCATTTTCATACAAACTATATTATGTTCATTTCAAGGATATCTACTAGACTACTTAAAAGCAAAAGGAAAAAATTTGGAAAAGGTGGGTCTTTTGAAATTATATTATGGGAAAAAGTATGAAAAAAGAAGTAAATAAATAAAGAAAAAAACCTAATTATGCTATTATAACTGTTTATATCTTCAATATCAAGATATTTAAACTCATTTCTTAACCAAGTAAAATAATATTGTTTTAGTATTTCATCCTTTAACTTGACGTATCTAGTTCTAATTTCCTTTTGATATACTCGGTTATCTTTTTTTTCTGCCTGTAGGGCGAGGTGACTCCCAGACGTGTTCCCAAAGTTCAAAGGTTCTTGGGCTCGGCCTCGCTCCCCGTTTTCGTCATTGTATAACTAACGAGGGGCAAATTGGGTGCTCGACTAAAGGAGTTTTGCCTTGAAGTGGATTTGCTTTGAACTTGTGTGGCCAACTTGGTACTTGGCAACCAGCTTAACGCCCAATCGAAGTCCGAGTGGCTGTCCTTAGCAGGAGCAACAAACAATCGCTTAATGCTGCAGCGAGTGCTGGGATGAAAAAGTGAGTCATGTAATATGGATTTTTCCCCATCTTGGCACCAGTGTCGCATGTCATCATTAGGTTTAACCTAAATCTCGATTACCTTACACTGACTGCCAACAATACACGCACGCACCACACCCAGTTCTGATTAAAGAGCACAGTGGTGTGGTAATGGTGGTGCCAGTGGTTTCTGGGAGCCACCACCTGGCTCCAGTTGCCGTTGGTTAGTACAGCAATTATTTTTAGACCATTGTTCAGGCTTAAATGGGAATCGCCTGCAACGCCCATAGCTTAAATGGGGTATTTTAATGGTGTGAAAAATCAATAAACTTCGGTGCCAATGAAAAAACGGTTACTACCCTAAAAATCATAGTTTTATCTATTCAAACTCCCTTGTGAAAACCCTTTTTACCAGATTTTTCCTCAACTTCGTTGCACTTTTTCAGCCAGACAACGAAAAATCGATATTCCGCAAAATGGACGCCAACATGGCTGCCCCCCAGAATCTCCACAGTGGCCCCGAAAAGTACACCCCACATTGTGAAAACCAAGATGAAAATTTCATATTACCTGAGCTCCATTTTCGGTGACCATTTTTCTACGATTGCCAATGGGAAAATGTCCGTATCGAGATTATTTCTTCGATTAGTTGGGTGTAGAGAAATTGTGTAAGCGGTGTATGTCGTCACTGCAGATTAGTCATATTTTTCACGGGGGCCTGGGACTTTTCTTCGCCGTTAGGTAAAGCGGAAAATTCACACTACTCGGAGATTTTTGCTCGAGACCTTTTCCCGTTCTTTTATACGCTGAATTTTTAATGCACTCCTATCGATTTTTCCTTAGACTTTATGTAAGCAATATGTACACGAGTGCATGTGGGTGTGTGCGAGAGGGTGTGTTCGTACAGGCGACCGATTCGGTTGTGTGCGTGTCAGTGTCGGTGTATGGGTGTGAATGTCTTTGGGTGTATGTGTGTGTCTGATTGGATTCCTGGCTGCTCTCACACAGTCCCTTCTGAATTCACGGTTTTCGAGGAGCAGTTTTCGTTTTTGCTGCCGTATTCTTCGATGTTCAACTCCAGACTGGATGCGACAAGTCCTGGCCCGAGTGGTTGAAACTTCAACTGGCAGGACTTCGAAGGACCTGCGCACTCGCCCGTTCCAATTGGAACGTCCACCCCCAAAGTTCCGGGGGTAGTTCGCCCCCTGGAACCGGGACTTCGAATGGAAGTGCCAGCGGAAGCCAGAAAAAGAGGCAGGGCCCTGAACGGAACCATCACACACGTGCCCTTTGTTATTGTTGACGTTTTTAAAGACGCCAGCACGTGCATTAAGGGAAAAAGAAACCGTTTAGGGATCTATTGTTAAGTTGAATAGATGGTTTTAAATTAATTCAAGATACCATTTCAGAGATTCAATGGGGTAGTTTGGCATAAGGATATATATTTCCTACTAGGTTGCATTGTTTTAAAGAAATTTGAGAGACTTGGTGCATGACAAACAAATATTTATTGCCTTTTTTTGCATAATAACCTAAACATGAAAATATTATCTCTTCGGAAAATCTATGTAATTGTTTTTTTAAGGGAGTTTTTTTCCTTGCAACATAAAACTCTTATAAAGCTGCTACAATTTCATAAGCTTTAAAGAAACATTTTAAAACCCTTCCACCCTATTTTTCAGACTTCAAAACCTGTTTCGAAGAAGGTCTTGTCTTAATGTCGTTACACAAAACGCAATAAATAACGTGTCAATGTTAGATGTTGTTAAACCACAAAATAAAGCCTTTATAAAGACAATATCAATTTTGAACTAGATTATATTTAAGAAAATTGATCCCATTTGTATTCCACCAATCCCTTTAATCTCTATTTTCTTTTCGGAATACCCTCTTATTTGCTTTGCAACCCAATAAGAATCCAACCATTTATACCCCCGCTCACAATGTAAACATTTTCACGAGTTGCAATTATCCCAAGCAGGGTGTAACTATAACAATAACTATCCTAACAAGACCCACATTAATCTTCCCGTTACAATGAATCCAAGGCATTAAATTCCACCGACAGTTTCATTTAGCACATTAGACTAATTAGCTAAGTACACAGAAAAAATTCATTTGGAAAACATGGAAATGGCCCAGTGGTCCTACCCCTAGATAATCTCCTGGCCCGGAACTCTGTTGACCGAGAGTAAATAAGGGCCGGGCCCAGTGCACACAATCCACAGTTGGTTGACGGCTGATGGATGACGGTTGGGTTTCCTTCCAGCTGGGGATTAACTTCTGCGCAGACGCACCGCTCCACTGGATGTTGTTTACTTCCCGTTTCGAACTCGGGTTCGGAATTCGCGCTATTCGAAAATCACACTCACACCCCGGAACCCCGGAACCCACCCCCTTTGGCACCACATTCAAAGGTCGAAAATCCCAATCGGATGCGTGTGCATTCCCGGTCACGTTGTGCCAAGTAAGGCAAAGGCAGTGCCATTAATTCGGGTTCTTAGGAACGGGAAACCTACCCCTCTGAGAAGGAAGTGGAAGCCAAATCCACCCCTTCGAGCGGTTGCATAAAATTGCATTTCAAATTGCATCGTGACCGGGACAAATTGTGCAGTAAATAAAGGAATGAGTGTGTGTGAATCACGTTGCAGGTAATTAAATGGGCTAAAAGGGGTGGCAAACCGGCCTGCAAGGTGGCAGCCACATTTTGAATTTAATTAAAGAGAAGCCCTTTATCCTTTTCCCAAACGTTGGCCCTGTTTATTTTGTTTTTGACCAGCCGAAAAGGGGCTTTCCGTTCGCACTTTAAACCCAAAAGCCCATCGAGTTGGCCTTTATTTTGGTGGAAGGGTGGGCCCAAGAACCAAATGGCCTATTCGCATGCTACCAGGCACTTCAGCAATGTTTATACTCTCTCAATGCCATCGGCTATTGTCATTTGTGTATGGCTCAATTAATAATTCAAAGGGTTCTTCTGCCTTCGTTCACATGCAATTGATAGATTTTTAATTACATTTTCTTTCCTTGGGCTGCTTACAGAAGCAATGAGCCCAAGGGAAAAGTGGTACTAGTTTGACATTTTAGTTTAGTTTTCTGTACTTTCAAGAGAAAATGTGTCACAGGAAGTTTAGATGAAACTAAAACGTTACTTGTTTTAACATTTCTAATGAAATGGGTTTGCTTATTCTTTATATATTGCTTGCCGTTAACCTTCCATGTATTTATTTTGAAGAACAAATTTTGGTATAAGAACGATGATCTTCGTTATAAAGATTTCACTTTAAACATTTCTGGGAAAATTTCAGGTGGCAAAGCATGTAAACATGTACCTATACTCCTGAACACTTGCTTTTTCACTTTATAATAATTTCATTAAATTAAGTCCCCAGAAGAGTATCCATAATTCAGTGCTGGGCAAAAGTTATTTAAACCTCCCTGTGTTTAAGTTAATATTTGTGTTAGCATCGATGTCACGGGGGCCTGTCGCCAGCAATATGATATTTCAATGACCCTCCCCGGAGTCCCTTAAAAAACAGCGTGGCAGGAATGTTTTGGCGCAATGCCTTAAGTAAATTACCAGCTAGATGAGCTGATTGCCCATAATTCTGACGACCCCAAAAAACGCAACGCAAATTGAGCACGGCAAAATCGCCATATCGTGGGTAATTCCTGGGAAATGGGAGCAGAAAATGGAAACATTTTCACCGTGTTCAGTTCACTGCACCCGAGGGGACGCAAAGTATGGCACACGCACAACATTATGAAAAATGTAAAAAATTCACCGCACGATTCGCTGGCCAATTTGGCTGTATTTATAGGGCAACCCAAAACAGATGCCTGGGTTTTTTTTTTTTGCTTTTCGGGAACGCATTACATAAATTCAAGTCCAAGGTGTCGCGAAACTTACGCCCAAACTCTGCAGCGATGGGAAGCGTTTCTTCAGCGTCTCCATTTGCCCAGATCACCCCCGGTTATTCAAACTTGTCGGGGCCAATAAATTGAAATATATACGCGTATATATCTAAATATTGTCTAGAGGGCCTCGCGCGCCAGCCGCACCGAGCGATTTGAGTCGTTTTCTGAATTATTTTCGAATGCGCCTCGTCGAACTAGAGAACCAGAGCCCCCAGAACAGATGGCAATATAATAGACCCGAGAACAGAGACCTCAACCGCACATCATCGTACTAGGCCAATGTAAAGAGTGCCGCAAAGAGAACGTTTAGCTAAAACATTTAGCCAAGTTGGCTATTTATAAAGCCCAAACAAACCGAGAAGAAGATTGCGAAAAAGAGCTTTCTGCTCAGGACTTCCCTCGCCATAGGAGCCCCAAGATTTGATGCCCGGCGCCAGCAGGAGTTGTTAATGCCCCCGCAAGGACAACGGAAGCGCACTGCCGATGACTCACTTGGCATTGGACACAGTCGGTCCAAGGATTACAATTGCGTCATCGCTGGGATGGATTGTGATGAGATGAGATGGGCTTTACTTTCGCTCCAACTTGTGGCCGAAATGATGCCCCGAAAGTTGTGATTCATAGTTTCTTTCAAGGATGATTTATGTCAGCTAAGATGCGATAGTTACTTCTGGGCGAAGATTGGAGATATTATCATCGCCCAATTAGAAGTAACCGCAGGAAAGGAATTTATTATTCATTTCCAAATTTTACGATAATTCTGCTTTTACTACTTTATGATAGGAGCTTATAGCATCATAAGTAAATATTAACTCATAAAACTATTAGGTTTCCATAAAGTGCCCTAACTCTCATAGAATGTCAAAATGCTTTGGGCTGATTAAGTCCTTTAGTTAAGGGAAGCTATCATTTATATCAATTTGGTTGTGACCTCCAAATGTACTTTATCATATAAACTTTAAGAAGACGATAGGGAATATAGTACAAGGCATATAAGACATACAAGCTAATTGACATTTTATGACCTCTAGGACCCTTTTAAAACAAAGTGGATAAAAAAGGATATCATGAAAATATGAAAACTTATAAAAGTCACTCTAACTTTAACGACGCCAACCCTTTCCCACTCCCCTAGGCAAGTAGGTGTGACCTCTAATTTCGTCCCCTTGGAGTCCTGATCACGTGACTATCTATATTAAGAGGGACTAACCCATTCCCAAGTGCCCGATCCAATGATGTAATCCTCGGGAGGACTACTCACCGCACTCTGGTGTCCTGTGGGGCAGTGCTCGTGCTTGTTGGGATGGTGGTGGTGGTGCTGCTCCCGCTTGTGGTGGGCACCACCATTGGCTCCTTCGTGGTGGAAGATCTGCTCGTGCTGATGCTGGAAGTACTCGTAGTGGCCCACTTGCTCCGGATGGTGCTCCGTCGGCGGTGAGTGGATCCTCGAGGGCGGGCTGTGGTGCGGAGCCTTGGGGGCGTGGCCGGTGGTGGGGTGGTGCGACTGCTTCTGCGAGTGACCACCGCCTCCACTTGCTCCTCCATGATGACCACCACCACTGGTGGTGTGGTGACCATGTCCATGGCCATGGTGGTGATTGTGGGTGGGCGGCGAGGGCATGTTGTGACCGCTGTGGGGAAGATGCGACGAGTGCTGCACACCCACCTGATGTCCGTGATGGTGGGGCACATGACCTTGGGACGCCTCCATCAGCGTGGGCTGGATGTGGGTCACAAACTGGGCCATCCTGCCGCAACCTTCAACTACTGCTCCCTGTTTCTTGTTGTTTGTTTGCCTGGTTTGGGCTTAGGTAACACCTATTTAATTTTTCACTTCCTCTACGAGGGGGTTTTCAGGATTGTAGGGGAGGGGGTTGGCACTTTTATATGTATCCCAGATGTGGGAGTGGGTAGCACAAGAAACACACACACACTATGGCTGGCTTGCGGACGCGATGCGGATGACGGAGGATTTGGACTCGGAGCGTGGACAACCTTCTCGCAGGAGCAATGTCAAATGACTGACTAGGAGCAGCTACAGCTATCCCAGTTGGGCCTTAGATGCCACAGGACTCTCCACCCGCCGTCGCACCACCACCCGAGCCACTTCGGCTCCCGGTCGGGTGTGTGTTCGTTGTCGTCCTGTCGGAGGAGCTTTAACCGGACCCAGTTTTATGCGCCTGGCTGATAAGAGATGCCCCGCTCCAGCGGCTGATTGCGATTTTGTATGGCTGAGGATGCTGATTTAATGATGCCTTCGTGCCTGGCCACGTAGTGCTCTGTTTTTTAAATATCTCACCGTCAACTGTGTCACGGACTCCCAATTCGTTTCGCTGGAGATTTTTTCGGCTTGGAGGCGGGGCGGTACTCTGCGTGTATCACTCTGTTATTTTTAACGCAGCCAGAGGAACACGGTTCATCTATTTGTGTCAAGCGCGAAAGTATGTTCCAATTTTCGAGGGCCTACAGGTGGCAGGCGAGGGTTACGACTAGGGCTTATCCTGTGACTTATAAAGTCAGGCTGGAGAAGTAAATTAGAAATATATTCCTGGCCACGTAATAAGTATGATCTAAAAAAGAAAGGATTTTATTTGACCTACAGGTTTTAATCTTACTTATAATCTTTGCACATTTTTTATCGATCATAGAACATTTAATTAAAGATATACGAAATTTTTAAATACTTTTAAAAATATTAACCTAAACAATAACAACGGTACAACCAATTTATAAATGTTTAAAATATATTTAAATCAACACAAGATTAGTCATTACTGTAATAGGTAATTTCTATGCCTTATAAGGATTTCAATTATCTTAAATTTGTAAGCCCAATATACCCAATAATTCATTTTGTACCGATTGCCAAAACAGAATTCGTTACGTTTTGAACGAAAAGCTTTCCCTTACGTACTTTTTTAAAGAACGTAGACCTCACGTTACGTTTTGTTAAGCTTTATCAGTAGGGTATTTATGAAAGTACATTGATTTATTAGAAAAGGGGGTGTGTCCCTTGTCACTCTTTATATGGATAAAAAATAGGTGGGGAGTATAGGTTAATATAAAATAACATATTTACAATTCATAATTTTGTATTTTTGGTCAAATTAAACGGATTTGAAATAGTATTGAGTTCTTTAAAAGATAATAAAAATAAAGTAAATCATGAATGTGTCACAATAACGATGATTTCATATCTATTTAAGAACGAAAACCATATTTGATTTTTAATTTAGATACTTAATCTAAGTAAACACTTACTACAAAACTTTCCATGGACAGCGCATACGAATGTCGAGGGCATCTTCCCTTATCTCAATCGCCTGCACATTGTAGGTACATATGTTTATGTTTGTGGTTCGTTCGTCACCGTGATTCTGTAGCTTTCGCGACTGCCAGCGCAGCGCAACAAAGTCCAATGTCCAAGCGGCGCTGCTCTATCGCCATGTACATATCATCGCTATACCGGCGCATCGGCAACTCGTTTGGATCATTTCGCTGTGAGCCACCGACGAGTTAAGGCGACCTAGTTAAAACTTAGAAAAATACGAAAATAAACCCGTAACCCAATGGCGTTCCTCAACAAGGTGAGCATATTTGTTAGTTTATACCGCGGAGAAAGTGAAAAACACATCAGAAATGCATATATTATCTATGGAGGTTCAAAGTTCTCTCAGATTTATGACGACAGCAACTGTTGATCGTCTGCGATTTGGGTTCATACAAACAAACATATAATCGAGTGGGTTCCGTTTCGTAAACACATTTGTTGTTGCCTATCTGCGAGCAATCATCTGTACTTTGCCCCCCTCGAAAAATTATTATTAGCGGCGTCTAATGGCGGCTTGTTTTTCCATTCGATTTAATTTAGAATGCAAACTTTATTGGCAGGCCTGATAGAAGGTTTATAACATTTCTCTTTGTTTGCGAGAATATAATGAAGGGTGTGTTTAGGATCACAGAGAACCGGAACCCCGCATAAAAATATAAAAGGTTATGAGGTCGACCATTAAATCATGTATGGAACTAATCTGACAGTCGGTTATATCATGATCAACTTGTTTGTTTGTTGCTAGAATGTATTATTAGTACTGCTTGATCTACATACATGTTTTAATTTTATTCAGACTAGACAAAATGTAAAAAACAATATACCAAGCGTAATATTAAAAACAATTTAACGTTGATATATAAAATAGGATCTAGGAATTGTTTGAATATGAACTGATTTCTTTTTTTCTAACAAATCTAGCTTGCTGCGCCTGCCCTGCGCCAGTTGGTGTCCCAAAGTCGCGCCTACGCCGCCGTGTCCCACGTTTCCCCCAATGGCACCTCCTTCGCACTTACCGAGGATCAGCTGCAGCTGCAGGAACTGGCCCGCAAGTTCACCCGCGAGGAGATCATCCCAGTGGCCGCCCAGTACGACAAGAGCGGCGAGTACCCGTGGCCCATCATCAAGAAGGCCTGGGAGCTGGGCCTGATGAACAACCACATTCCCGCTGACATTGGTGGTCTAGATCTCGATGTGTTCACCACCTGCCTGTCGGCAGAGGAGCTGGCCTACGGTTGCACCGGCATCATGACCGCCCTGGAGGCCAGTGGTCTGGGCGTAAGTTACTCGATTGACATCCGTTCAAGGCAAAATGTTCTAAATATATTCACTATCCTCAGCAAACTCCTGTGATCCTGTCCGGTAACAAGGAACAGAAGAAGAAGTACCTGGGCCGTCTGCTCGAGGAGCCGCTGGTCGCCGCCTACGGAGTCACAGAGCCCGGAGCAGGATCCGATGTTTCCGGCATCAAGACGCGCGCCGAGAAGAAGGGCGATGAGTACATTCTTAACGGCCAGAAGATGTGGATCACCAACGGCGGTGTGGCCAACTGGTACTTCGTGCTGGCCCGCACCAATCCGGATCCCAAATGCCCGCCCAGCAAGGCCTTCACCGGGTTCATTGTGGAGCGCGACTCTCCCGGCCTGACGCCCGGTCGCAAGGAGTTGAACATGGGACAGCGCGCCTCCGACACGCGTGGCATCACCTTCGAGGATGTGCGTGTGCCCAAGGAGAATGTGCTGATTGGCGAGGGAGCCGGCTTCAAGATCGCCATGGGCACCTTTGACAAGACGCGTCCTCCAGTGGCCGCAGGAGCTGTGGGTCTGGCACAGCGTTGTTTGGATGAGGCTCTCAAGTACGCGCTGGAACGCAAGACCTTTGGCGTGCCCATCGCTCACCATCAGGCTGTGCAGTTCATGCTGGCTGATATGGCCATTGGTGTGGAAACATCTCGTCTGGCGTGGCGTCTGTCCGCATGGGAAATAGACCAGGGACGTCGCAACAGTTACTACGCCTCTATTGCCAAGTGCCATGCCGCCGATATGGCCAACAAGATCGCCTCCGATGCCGTCCAGATCTTTGGAGGCAACGGCTTCAACAGCGAGTATCCCGTAGAGAAGCTAATGCGTGATGCCAAGATCTACCAGATCTACGAAGGCACTTCCCAGATCCAGCGTCTCATCATCTCGCGAAACATGTACGAGGTTGCCAAGGGCAACGCCTAAGCCAGTCCTTACCAGGATTCCTCATCATCATTCACCTCAGTCGCCGTCATGCTCATTGTCGACACATTCACAATGCCGATTAATAAAGTACAATAAGTAATAGTTACAAGAAACATAAATCAGTGTCTATCATTAATCTAATCAAGGACCAGTGTTATCTACTTGGTCATTTGGAATGCATTACAAACACAAGAAGTTTCAAAAAGGCCTGAAGAATTAAGTAAACAACAGTCAAGTTTACTATCAAATTCTTCTTAACCTCTCGACTTTCTAAGCTCTTTGCCTCACTTAGCCCCAGAAGTCTATAGTCTAGACCATCACCAAGCTATTTCGCCAGCTATCATCCGCCGATTAGATAAGCCCAGTGGGGGCTGAGTGCTTGTCCCACTTAGACTCAACTTTTTGGCGTACTGTTATCAAGTAAACGATAAGAGGTAAACTCAGATTTGCTAATAATTGTCAAACAATAAAAAATACTCTGGGACAAACAACATAATGAAAATGATTTTACATGATAAGACTTCACAATTCCGCATCGTTTCCATCAGCCAAAAGCTTAAGGAGACCTTTGTACCGCCTGCCACTTTTCCGTCTGCCCGATGCGGTCAGCATCTTGGCCTTGTCTCCGAATTGCAGCTGCCAAATGGACTGAAGTGTCTCCAAGACACCGGGCATGGAGAACACCTTTTCATCAATCGTTAAGTCCAAGCGCCTGGGCACCTGCTGTTGTTGCTCCAGTTTGTGGAGACGAGTGTCATCCAGAAGATTTGTACAATTGGTGGCCAACAGGGAGTGCAGTTGGGGTAGTTCGTCTAGAAGGTATCCCATGGCAGCTCCACTAAGTCGGACATTGTCGCTGATATCCAGCCAGTGGAGTTGCTTGGCCTTGGCCAGGTGCTGACTAATCTGGTACAGGTGCGCATCGTCCAAACCACAGCCAGCAAGCTCCACTCGGATAAATCGTTCGCAGGTGCCACCCTCAAGCAAAGCAACTAGTCGCTCTCCCAATGCAAATGCACTGGCCTCGTCCAAGGGCCAGCGTACATAGCTGAGATTCAATTGTTCTAGGCGGCAACTATTCAGCTGATCCGTTAACCGGCGCACACTTTGCTGGGTCAGTTGGTTGAAGCTAATATCAAATCGTGTCAACTGGTTGAATCCAAGATCAAAGTCTTGAAGCTCCGTCAGCTCACATTGAGCAATATAAAAGGAAGTCAGAGCTCGAGCAGCAGGACTGGCGCAAAACTTACTGAGTATTCTCAGGCTGGCATTACCCAACGGATTCTGACTTAAGTTAAGCTCTTCCAACAGCTCAAGTTTATCCATGCCTTGACCGCATAGCAGGGCCTCCAATCCTTGGGAGCCAATCGCATTGCATTGTAGACGCAAGGCTTTAAGTTGGAGCAATGTGGGCAGAGACTTGGCCAACTGCTGGCATCCTTCGTTACCAATAAAGTTGCGGGAGAGATCCAAGACCGTGAGTCGCGCTTGATGGAGAAGTGCTTTAAATATGGGTTCCGTTTGCTGAGCCCGCATCCACAAGCCGGAGAGCTCTAGCATCTGAGTGTTTTGCGAACGCTCCAGTAGAAGCTTAACCTTGTTATCCACAGCTAAAAATTGGAAACATTTCTGTTAGTACATAAGAAGGAAAAGGGCTTCCCAAATAAATTCTTACTTTTCTGCACTTGATGGCACATTTCCTCGTATCGTTGCGAGAGAGGTGATATTTTCCAATCCAGAATGGTGGCCATCAGCATATTTTGCTCTAGGGCTACACTAACCGCATCCGTTTCCTCGTAAGCGAAGCCATCGGCTGTCTTGAGTCGTAGAAGAGGTGTTAAACCCGTCAACCTAGTAATATAAATAGGATTAGCTTTAATTACACTTTGTATGAACTATTCTTACTTATTATAACGTCTCCCTGCTTCCTCAGCCAACCAACGAATGTTAATATCCTGCAATTTTTTTCGCTCAATGGGAACCAGTAAAAGTTCGTCCTGCACTTTGACTTTGAAAGACACAGTGGTGGCCAGAACGGGAGTAGTTTGTACCTTGATAGGAGACGACTTGGACGGAGAGATGAGCAGCTGAATAGTGCTCGTGGTGGAATCAGGTTCAATAGTTCGCAGGCTAATTACGGAAGCAGCGCCATCCTGCGAGGACTCACTGCCCAGGGGACTTTCGCTTCGGAATCTACTGAATCCACTGTCCATAAGCGTGGCCTGATGCTTTTTCCGACTAGAAGCAGCTGAACTGCTATGGTTGCTACTCATGCTGGAGGAGCGGGAAAGGGTAAGTTTCCGCATTTGCTTTTGACGTTGCGAGTATTCTGTATCCGGAGTGCTTTGAAGCAAATCATCCTCCCAGTTTGCCGGCAGTGACAAAGCAGAGTCTTGGAAATTCTCCTTAGAGGGACGGCTATTAAAATCTCCGGAGTTGATGCGTTTGCGTTTTCGCTCCGGACCCACATCATCGATCAGCCAGCTATCCGCATCCACCTCACCATCGTCAAGGAAGGCATTGCGTTTCTGCTTGCTGATAGTGCTGGTTCTGGGAGGATCATCGTTGAGGCGATTGGGTTTTTTTAACTGCGCCATAACACTTCTGTATTCCTTGCTAGCACTAGGTTGAGTTGAGCTCCCGGATTTCTGGGGACCATATTCACTTCCCGAACGGTTGTGCCTAAGGGATCTTCTATTACTCTCCTGTAGGGCCTCCTCTTCATCCTCTTCCTCTGATAAGCTTCCCCGCTCATCTCTGCTTGCTCTTTTTACATTGGCATTGGTCAGAGGACGGGCATTCCGGTCGCTGCAGATGCCCACCTTGGAAAGCGTGCGGAGGAGTCGATCTCGCAGTTGGGCATACTGCGCCTGCTCTCCATCAACCAGCTGCGCTCCCTGGCGCCACTTGTCCAGCCCAGCGATACAGGTCTCGTTGTAGTCCGTTCGCACAGTAGCATCCGCGCCTCGGTCCAGCAGAAGTTCGGCCACATCCAGGAAACCATTTGAGCAGGCATCAAATAGAGGTGTTATACCATCGCAACTGGTGCCCCCTTTATCGTTGATGGCAGATGCGGCTCCCTTGTCCAGCAGCAGCTCTACAATATCCCGAAAACCATGATTAGAGGCCTCATGCAATGGCAGCCATCCCGCGTGATCTCGTACATTGACCGTGTGGCCCTGGTCAATAAGGCGTCTGACCAGCTCCAGATTGCCAGATATGCACGCCTGATGCAGTTGCGTCTCGCCCTTATTGTTCTTCTTAATGACTAGGGTCCTGCTTCCTCGTGTGGTTCTCTGCGGACGAAGTTTCTCGCTCTCATCCAGATCACTAGCATCCGAGTCAGTGAGAGTGGTCAGGTCAAAGTCGTCGTCCCAATCGGGAGTGTTTTGCTGCAAGGCAGTTCCACCGGCTTCGGCATCTTCATCATCGTCGCCCATGCTTTCTTCCTGGTCCAAATCAATGCCTTTGGCTGTAGCTTCCGCCTCCAGATTTTCAACTAGAACTAGCATATTATGCTTAAGCATCAGGCGCCGCAATCTTACCATAGCAATCTTCTCGAGCTTGTCAGAGGAGGTGCCAGCCTTCTCGGCTTGCCGGAGAGCCTTTTGGTAAACGTCGTGGACGGTCCAAAAAGGGTGAGACTGCTGTTCGCATATCTCTGCAATGGTGCAGAGGGTGGTGAACGCCTCCGAGGGAACATCCTGGTTCAGCTCAAACTCTTTCCACAGGTACTCCAATGCCTTGTCAAATTGCCCGTTGTCTCGATAAGTCTGATAGAGACTCACGTAGATCGGCACTAGGCTCTTTCCAGCCTCCTGATTCAGTTCAGCGTTTTCCAACATCTTTTGGTAATATGTTATAGCCTTCTCATAGTTTATCAGATGACAGCAACCGTCGCCCAGTTTCTCGTACAGGCTCTTCAGCTTGCCGTAGTCCACTGAACTGGTCAGGACCAGTTCATCCAGGGTCTGGCAGATCTTCACCACGATCCTCAGCTGCTTTTCAATGCTCCCTCGATCGTTCTCATCCGGTGTGTTCTTCTTGTACGCCTTGGTGAGTATATGTTTTGCGCTGGCGAAGTCGCCCGCCTTGATCAGGATCTCCGCTTTGGTGATCAGAGTCTCGCAAATCTTCTTCACCTTATTGGGTAACCGCTTGGCCACCTCCAATGCCATATTGCAGTAGCGGAGCGCCGACGTAGCGTCGTTCTTTTTGCAATTGTAGAGCAAGCTCATCGAAATGTAACACAAGTGGGTCAGGTCCCACAGCTCGTGCGTTTTGCTGATCTTTATGGCTTTATCAATGTACTCAATGGATTCTTGGAAGGCCTCCATGTGTTCTTTCACAACGCCAATGTTCAGGTAGCAGCGGGCTTGCATGTCTAGTTGTTCCAGCTTCGAAATCTGACCTGAAAGTCTGTAAAATAGGGACTTATTAAAAAATGTATAAGCTTTTTCAAGGATTTAAATTCATATATCTTGCGTTATTTTATAATTTATATGTAAAATGTTTATAGAATAAATAAAACTTAAAACAACGATGCAGAGTAAAGATACAGTTATAGATCTTTAAAATGTACATCCTTTTGATAGAACCGATCTCTCGACAGTACTCTGACATCTCAGTAGGAATTTTTTAAGTTTCTACAGGGAATACCTACTCCTTGATCAGCAGGAGGCTGCGTAGAAAACTCTTCTCCGCCAGTTTCAGTTGTTCCATGGCTCCGGAGGCGGAGCTGTCCGCCAGACATTGTCCATGTAAAAGATGCACGCGACCCAAAGTGGCATATGCCCGCTGCTCTTCCACCTGGTTCTTCAGTCGCTTGGCAATCTCTGGGGAAGGGATACTCGGGTTATAAATGATAATCCTCATTTACGAGGTGCTCCAACAAACTCACTCAGGTAATCGCCGATGTGATCCTTGGCCGCATCGTAGTCGCACAGCAGGGTATACATCTCGCCCACCATCCTCTTGGCCTTGGCCGTCTCCAGCTCCTTGCCCATGGAGGCGTATATCTGGGCCTCCTGGACATATTCCCTGACCGCATCGTTGTATTTGCCCTGCTGATTGTAGAAGTCGCCCAGCTGGTGGCAACTGACCGCCACCTGTTCTCGGTTGCCGTCGCTGCGCGCCTTCTCTTTGCGCTTCAGGTAGCGCTTCTCATCCATTAAACAGACACGCAGAACGGACTTAGATATTACGGTATTTACAATTCAAAAATAAATTAAATAAATAACACAAATTTTTTTTTGCGATCGGCGCGAATTAGAGATGAGACAAACGACGATTTTTACTCGATGCTATCGATCCTTCCAAAAATTGGCCAACATCGATAGTTTCTCGGTTCATCTCTAAATATCGATAGATATACAAATATATTTTGAATTTTGGCGGGAAAAACACAATATAAATGAATATTTTACCACAGACTCGAACCATGAAAAAAAGCTTAAAAAACAGTCTGTGAAACAATCGCTTTCTGTATTTTTTGAATTTAATAAAATGCCTCGAGAAATATAAATTTTCGAGGGCTGGTCTCACTTTACTATTGTTTTGAATGTTCCGGAACTCTCGTTTTTGTGAAGTGCAAAATTGTATCCTTTCGCAAAGGTAAATTTTACAATCTTTTAAAACTATACAGTGCACATCAAAAACAATTTATAGAAGGTTTGGGCATTGTACTCAAATTAATTAAATTTAGGGGTAACTAATTCATTGATTTCATATGCGCATAAATTAACCTGCGATCGTGGGTCTTTATTTTCTTATCGTATACTTTTTCTTATAAGACCGGAAGGTTTTGCAATCTTATTTGCTTGGTCACATGTACATTAGGATGGACCTAAAAAGGTTAATTCATAATCTTTAAAACCGGTCCTTGTATGTTTCTGCGCGCCAAAAATTTTCTTGAAAAATACAAAATATACCCTAAACTAATTTTGTGTGCCCAAGGGTTACGAATTCAATAATCATAAGTGAAATTACTTAGTCCACAAATATTATCCTTCCTAAAAAAGGTTATTAAATTGTTAAATATTTTATTGGTCAAGTAATAGACCACCCTTAGGTACATTCATTCATACATATATATACATACCACATTGTTATCAGCAAATTTGGTGTTTACGCAACTTTAAAATTGCCTTGCATTTCCTCAAGTAAACACAAATGTAAACAGTTTTCTTCGCCCCTACCCGAGTGTTTATTTATTTTGAGGTTGGTTAGCTGAGTCGGGACTACAGCGTTCGTTATTTCGAGAATCAATTAATTGAAACCATTTTTCTGTTGAATTTGTCTTCCCATCCCAGTCGCAGAGGTTAATTTGGCAAGCTTGAAACGCAGTGAAGTGGAAATCACCACTAAAATATACAGTAAACAGTGAGTCAAAAGTTAATTTTTTTTTATAAGTTGTAGGTAAGTAATTAATGTTTATTTGTTATTATATCTTATAAAATAATAAGGTATTAGTTTTATTGTGACAAACTACTTAGGAGTAGATGGAAATTATAAATTATGTGGTTTTTCTTTTAAAATTTGAATTTCCTCTTTTTGTTAAGGCACTTATAGACATTTATTTTAATTACAATTTTATAAATTTCAATGTACTGGGGTAGAACAATTATATCACGCATTAGATCACGGCCGTTAATTAATGATATGGGCAGCCAGTATACACTAGTGACTTAAGTATTTTTACAAAACCTAAAGTCAAATTTACTTGATGTACAATCACTCAATGGAAAGGTTATACAAATTTAGTTAGAATGGTATTGTTCTTAGCCCATTAAGCACTTATTGAAAATGTCGAACTTTTGTGAAAGTCCACTTTTTGAATTTCTACCGGGATTTAATTAGGACTTTCATTTTCACGGCACTCAAAAATCAATGCCCTCTTGGGTTGGTTGGCACTTTAGGTAAGATTCCCGCTGAAATGCGACATCAGGTCGGGACTCAAAGTCTCCCTTGTCTTCTAGAAATTCACCTATTATTTAAATATACAAATTTGGGCTCAAGAGCAAGACTATGTCCATAAGTACTGAAATATGTCTGAATTATGTTTCCTACTTTTGGTCCGACATCTAATTTATAGCCAAGCTACATAACATTATATTTACAAAAATACATGAAAAATGTAATGTTTAAAATCGAGGTATTCTTTAAAAATAATAACAAATGTAAGAGTATGTGAAAATGTAAAAAGAAAGTAAGAGAGAGAGTGAAGAATTTGAAATGCTCACAGCAAATATTATTCACCTTTAATAGTGGCTTATTTTTTTCGTATTCCGCGAATCTGAAATATTAGATCGCCTACTCATATAATTTTTTAAATTATTTAAATCAATCCATATTTATTAGTGGGATTCATAGTCTAGAAATGTTACCCTTTCCAGAAAGAAATTATAATTTTACCACCCTTCAATAACCTTATTCTAGAACAACCAATGTTAAATTGTCATTGCATCTTTGACTTTTGGTCTGATCACGCATTAAATTTGTATTGGGTCTTGAATACATTAATTTAATACTTGGAATCAATTCAAAAAACCACATTTCCCGTTTTGGATGAACGTGACATAATAAATTCGCCGAAAATTGATTTTCGCCTGCAGTAGAAAAGGTGATTCTTTTTTATCTTCGTATTCAATAGTGATTTCTCTGCTCACCAGTAAGGAGCTACTTACCGTATAGATTTACAGTAAACTAGCAATTAAAAAGTGAAAAGAATAGTGTAATTCAAGTTAGTCAAACAGTTCGGATTTAGTAAGGTAAGTAGCTCAAAAAAAAATAATGAATTCTAAAATCATTGTTGTGATTGAAAAATAATTTGAGAACTAAACCTTTACAAGTCTTCCTCCTAAAGGAAAATTTGTAGAAAAGGTACTGTTTTAGTTAGAGTGATATAAATTCCTCGTGTCCGTCGACAGTAAGTTAATACTAATACCAACAATTGAAAGTAAATTGTTAAATTTTCCAAGCCTCAAGCTGAGATGGGTAATAGACAATAAAATATGCAGCGCGAACGTACGTGAATAAAAATCTTAATTTTTTGGACATCAAATCTGCAACGTACCAAAAAACATGTGCATTGCATTTTAAAATAAAAATGTAAAACTAAAAAAGCGTTAAGCTGAACACTTACTACACTGAGAAACATGTATATAAAAATAGAAAACTACATTAAAAACAAGGGAGAACGCTTGTCCGAATAATTATTAAATCAACATACATATATTGATATTGAATATGATATATGATATAATTATATGCTAGTTAGATAAATAAGTATTCGAAACTGAAATGAACGAGATATATCTAAATAATATTTATATTAAATGGTAACCGAAACTGTAGAAGCTACAGTTTTGGGCGGTTTGTGGGCGTTATATTGGTCTGGGGATATTCGCGTAACAAACTTGCGATGCGTAAAAACCTAAGGAATCTAAATGTGTAATCTCAACCCTCTAGCTCTTATAGTTTCCGAGGCTACCATGGTTGTTGACATGGCTACATCTACTCGTCTAGTTATCCTGATAGAAAATATACACTCTATGGGATCAGAAACGCTCCCTTCTACCCATACTTTTCGCCGACTACACCCTTTTATTATTCGAGTAACGAGTATAAATATATAAATAAAAGCATTTTTGTTGGTTATTGGGTTACCAAAGGCACAGAAAGCCTTTACATTAAGAATACAAATTAATAAGTTGCTGAAACCAAAGAATATTATTGGGGGACCCAATCGAAATTCAAAACACATTATCTCTGCAGTTCTTTGGCCCGCTTTGTCTTTGTCGCGGTGCTCGGTTTTTATGTTAACAAGAGTCGGCCAAGAACGGGTTAACGAAATTAATCACTGCCCCTACTTAAAGCCACGATCCAATCGCACTTGGCGACGTTTGGCGCGTTGTCAGCTTTGCCAACCAGTCTCTAAATTTGAATTAATTTCAAACATTTCGCATTCGCATGGTTTTTATTTTTATTTTATTATCTAAATCCTATTTATAAGGCTTACGTATTAATAATGCATGAGTATTTTGCCATTATGCTAAACTAGTGGTATTACATCGATCAATATCGCATATTTACAAGTCTCAAAAGTGTCAAGCTAGTGGTTACCAGCCAAATTTTTGTTCCAATTCAGGTAAACATCGAAGGCACTTTTTGGCCTCGTTGTATTTATGTTTTGGCCAATTTCATAAGAAAGAACTGTTTTGGCTCCTGTTTTGATCTTGGTCTCTTCATATTTAGCACGATAAGGACTGATGGTAGTTTTATTTGTATTAAGGGTTATTGCTGTGGTCGATTTTTGATTTTGCACTTGAGTTGTTGATCCTTTCTCAAACTTTGCATTGAATTTCTGGAAAAACGGATGATCGAAGGGATTCTTAGTGGTGGCACTCTTTTTCGTTGTTGAGGTAAATAAATATGGCCTTGGTGTGGTGCTTCCTTGACGAGTGAGTGGTGCCGTTATCGTTGAGTAACGAGTGGTGGTTCTCGTTGTCGAAGGTTGCTGAGTTGTTGGTAAGTAACGAATTGTGGTTGAACGAGTAGGTGCAGTTGGTCGTGTGGTGGGTTTAGTAACAGATATATATTGGTTCTGGAACTTGGTTGTTGGGCGAGTAGTAGTGGTAGAACGAGTTGTAGTTTTTGTTGTTGAATTTGGACGATAGGTTGTTGGGCGAGTAGTAGTGGTAGAACGAGTTGTAGTTTTTGTTGTTGAATTTGGACGATAGGTTGGTGAATATAGGGCAGCAGATCGATTAGTGGTCTTGGTTATAAAAGATTGGTGAGTGGTTGTAATTGGCCGAATAGTTGTAAAAGGTCGAGTGGTGGGTTTGCTTACTGTTGTTGGTCTTGTGGTGGGTTTACTTAAAGATATATATTGGTATTGAGAATTGGTTGTTGGGCGAGTTGTAGTGGTATGACGGGTTGTAGTTTTTGTTGTTAAGTTAGGAGGATTTGTTGACTTGGTTACTGTAGACTTGTGAGTGGTTGTAATTGGTCGAACAGTTGAAATAGGCCGAGTTTTGGCTTTGCTTACTGTTATTGGTCTCGCTGTTGTTGATTGTTGTTGGTGAGTTGTTGAAACTGGACGTCGCGTTGGAGGAGTAGTTGATCGTGTTGTTGGACGAGTAGTTGGGTGAGTGTTTAAGTAGAAATTTGGACGAGCTGTCGTGGACCGAGTAGTTGCTCTAGTAACCGCCCCAATAGTTGGACGAGTAGTGGGCCCATTGCTTATCACCGATCGAGTGGTTTTTGGATAAGCTGATGCTTTCGTTGTGGCCGTAAAGCGATTGCCACTTTCTGTTATTGTGGGCTTAGCGGTCGTAGAAGTTTGCCATGACCATAACGGCAAGCTAGTTGTTTTGGCCGCAGTTGAGACTGGTTTTCTTGTGGTCGCTGTCAAAGGTTTCCGTGTGGTTGTTGTTACAGATTGCTTTGTAACGCTGGAAGTTGTTGCTGCTGCCGCAGAGGTGGCCGTAAATTTAATCACCTCATTGCGGAAGCTGTCGCTGCTGACATAGGGTCTGTTGACCAGCTGAGTGGGCTTAGATGGACTATGACTTGGGCTCGAGGGCTTGGGCTGGGGCTTGGGCTTGATGGGTGCTTGAGCGGGTACAATTGGTTTGCCAAGTAGACTAAGGAATGGATTCTGAGCATAGGATAAACTAACGTGGGGCTTGACTTCTTCTGAAGTGTGTGAAGTAAAGGCAGTGGGTGTAATTGAACTTGGGGCTTTCAGGAAGGGATTGCGTTCATAGTTGGGTTTTTGGGATACCAGATTAGGTTTGTTCTGTAGTTGGTTATTGAAAAATGGATTGGATGCATAGAGTTTATTGCTTTGTGGCTCCTTGGAAGCTGATATATTGTTCGAAATTTTATTTGTAACTTTTGTGGGCTGGGGTATCTTAGCTGCTTGTAGGAAGGGATTTCCCACATAATTTTGACTGGTTGCTTTCTTTTGCTGTGGGCTCTCGACCACCAACTGATGAGGCTTCACTTGTGGCCTCTCTCCATAAGGACTAATCTTATCCGCCTCTGCAATCTCATTTCCCTCGAAGCAGTCGCTCAACTGGGCCAAGTTCTGATTTCTGCAATGTCCATTGTAGACAGTCCAGGCATTAAAGCCATCTCCGGAGAGTCGTGTGTGTTCTTCGTGGATTGTTCGTATGCACTGAACGTCATCGGATATATCTGAATCCAGCAAACGATCGCATTCAATGTGACAGGCCTTGCCACTTGTCTGGTCATGGGAACACCAGTAGATATCGCTGATCTGGAACAGACCATGATCCTCACTGCCATCTGAATTCAGTTTTCCCACAGCTGCTGTATTGAAAGAGGACTCATGTTGTGCTATGCAAACCCAGGTGGGAATCTCCTTCATGGGTAACTTATGCTTGTGGTACAGTTCCTTGGCCAGCTCACAGCGATTGTAGATTTTTCCCTTCGAATGTGGAGATGCCTTCTTGACCAGCTCGTTACCCCTAGGTGGTTTCGCGACTTCCCCGGGCAGATCTTTACCCTCGAAACAGCCGGCGATATCTGCTCTAGTCTTCTGCCTGCAGTGTCCATTGTAGACAGTCCAGGCGGTGAAACCATCCCCCGAAATCCTGGTGTGCTCCTCGTAAATGGTCCTCACACACCTGACATCATCCGTGATATCCGAGTCCAGCAGGCGATTGCAGTCGATGTGACAGCCCTTGTCGCCTCCATCGCCATGTGTGCACCAGTAAAGATCGCTGATCTGGAAGAGCCCGTGATCCGCGCTCCCATCCGCATTCAGCCGACCCACAGCTGCCGTTTTAAAGAAGGACTCATGCTCGGCGATGCACACCCAGGTGGCCAATTCCTGCATGGGAAACTTGTGTGAGAAATACAACTCTTGGGCTAACTCGCAGCGATTGTAAACTTTACCCGTGCGTTGATAGTGTGTTTGAAAGTGTGTCTGATAGTGTGGCTGATACTGTACTGCCTGTTTGTGGCTATAGAATGGGTTAGCGGGGGATTGGTTTTTAAGAGGTGCACCAATGGCATTGGGATGCTGTCTGGGGGGACTAACGGGTCGTGGTCGCAGGAAGGGATTGCCCGAATAGGCAGCCCCATTGGATGGGTAACTCAAAACGGGCGCCGCTGGTCGATAATATTGGTTCACAGCCGGGCTCTGATGCACTTGCACCTGGCCAAATGGATAGGCGTAGCTGACCTTGGGCTTCACAGGACCTCCTCCTCCACCAATGGCATTGGGGTGCTGGTGAGTCGGAGGCTTGGCAAAACAGGCTGCTACCTGTTCGTAGTGCTGATTGAGGCAGTTCCTCTGGTAAACGGTCCAGGCATTGAAGCCATCTCCCGAGATCTGAGTGTGTTCCTGATGGATCCTCCGGATGCACTGCACATCGTCGGCAATGCTGGTGTCCAGGAACTGATTGCAGGTGGCATGGCATCCCTTTCCAGCCCTCTGATCGTGGGTACACCAGAAGAGATCGCTGATCTGGAAGAGACCATGATCCGCACTGCCATCAGCATTCAGGCGACCAACGGCAGCTGTGTTGAAGGAGGACTCATGCTGGGCAATGCACACCCAGGTGGGAATCTGCGGCATGGGCAGCTTGTGCTGGTAAAACAGTTCCTGGGCAAGCTCGCAACGGCTGTAGATTTTTCCCTGTGGCTGGACTTGAGCCACCTGGTGGTAGTATTGAGTCACAGGATAGCTGTGGACCTGAACTTGCTGGGGTTTCTGGTAGGAGGCAGCCACCGCTAGAGCTGTGCTGCCAGGACCTCCACATCCTGCCACATAGGAGGATGCATCCTGGCTGCAGTAGGCACCGTAAGCCTGCCAGGCGGTGAAACCATCTCCGCTGATCCTCAGGTGCTCTGCATAAATCTTCCTCACGCACAGGACATCGTCGGCGATATCATCGTCCCGCAAACTGGAGCAACTCAGGCCACAACCCTTTCCCTGACCAGGTGGCGAGCACCAGTAGACATCGCTAATCTGGAAAAGACCATGGGATCCACCGCCCAATCCTGCTCCTCCGCCAAAGGCAGCCGTATTGAAGTCACTCGAGTGCTGGGCTATGCACACCAAGGTGGCCACCTGGGCGGCAGGAAGGCCAAATCGGTGCTGCAGCAAATTGGCCAACTCACAGCGATCGAAGACCTTGGCCGTGGCCAAAAGCGGGAACAGTAGGCAAACCACTGGCCACCTCAGCATCTTGATCTGTTCTGACACTCGAACCCGCAGCTATCACTCTTTTATAGGGAGCACAGAAAGCACACAAAAAAACTGGAGCAAGATCCTTAGGTCATTTGAAATTCAAATTTTACAGCGCTTTCGAGAACTCGTGAATATCGGTTTTTGTCTCCGCGTTTTTTTTTTTGTTAAATAATTTTTTATATTTTTTGATTTCCAGCTGGCTGTGTGCGTTTGCGCGTTTCGTTGACGACTGAAATCTCCGGCGGTCGCATCTTCAGCCCAAAGTCAATTTGAATATGACGACGTCGACTGCCGAGCGAGACAAACTGGTTGTGGCTATTGCATAATTACTGCGGCGGTCCGAGCTGACAAAAGGTTCTCGGCCACTCAAGAACCCAAAAGATTGGAAGCGCGAAAAGACTACCACATTATCGAATCGAATCAGCCGTAAAAAATTAGTTAGAAAGTTCTGCAGTCGCTGGGCCCATTAGCTGTCCATTTGCCAAATGGAATTAATTCGAAATGCCCGTATTTATGAGACAGCCGACTGGCGAGTCGCGAGCGCTTTTCACGCGATTTTAATCGCCTCGTAAGTCTCAATCAAGCAATCGACAGGCGCGATTTGCGGCTGTCAATCAATTCCCGAGACTGAGATGGGGACCCCACCCCATAGATAGTGTCTCAATCGCATTGTAATGCAAACAAACACCTTGGAGCCGCTTTGTTTATCTGCCGAGCGAAATATTTTGTTTGCATCTCCGATTGACCAAGTCGTTTTTATTTTCGCCTCCGTTGCCTAAGTTTTTGGTGTTTCTCCGATAGCCAATTTGATGCAATATAAACTGTGTTTTAATTGCCGCTTTTTTGTGCAAATTGCTGGGCCGAAAACTGTTGCTGATTGATTAATACCCGGGTTCCCTCATTAACTGGTCTTGAACTTGAGTCATTGCCAAGAAGAAGGGAGGCGGATCGTTCGAGGTTTTGGCCAAGTGATTTTTGCGGTTAGCATTGTCTAAGAAGTTTGAAAATAACTTAATTAAATGCTTTAACATTGTTGGAAATTTAGTTTCCTTGGAAACCACACATTTTTGACTGGGATATTCATGGGAACTCACCAACTAAAGCAACCAGTCATGCCATAAATTCTCTTTATAAGAAATATAAATCAACAGGTTATATGTTAAGGCTAGGCTGCTCAAAGAAATTCGAAATTAAATAAAAAACCTAAATATTCCACAAATTTATGAGTTGGTAGTGAGTAAATAAAAACAACATTTTGGTTAATTCGTAGTAGTTTTTCTTGTTTTTTTTTAGTAAACGCTAAATCACAATATAATAGAATCACATTTAAAAAATAAATTATATACAAATTCGTAGACAAAAACTGCATGTTTTACATCCATAATTATCATAATAATATAACAAATACATTTTACATAACACTCAATAACAAATACGGATTTATGATTAATATCTTACTTCACGGGTGGCTCCTCAACACGCCCCTTCTGATAGACATAGTATATCAGGCAGATAACCGCCACACCAATGCCTCCACACAAGGTCGCCCAGTGGACAATATTGAGGGTTTTTAGTGTGTTAATCAATTTCTTTTTGAAGAAGGCCACCATTTCGCCATTGAGTTGGATGCCCTAGCGGAAAATTGTTTTAAAAATATACTTTTTTTATAGTAAATCGAAAGTTTAAGTGAATTTAGATATAACTAACCTCTTCTACCCAAATTGCGGGCATTAAAACTGTTGGTAGATTTTCGGTGATCCCTATTCGATTAATGCTCTTGAGGAACATATTAAACTGAACCCTTTTACCGCCTTGCAAGGGCGTACCCGTCAGCTAATGGAGTAAATATTGCTGTAGGATTTCTCTAGATCGAACAAATATATATATATCTTACCGACTGCACATCCACAAAAGTCTGATGTTTTTTGGCATCTGGTTTTAAGCCTCTTATCATTTTTCGGTACTCATTCGAGGCGCCCAGCATATGAGGCAATGTCAAAATCACAGGGGCATCTACAAAGAGATAGTAATTAAAATATACATTACTTAAGAGATACATTATAAGCAGACTCCTTGATTTGCATAACCTGCTCCTTGGACGTCTTACTGCATTCCATTTTAATTATTCTGTTTACACTGTTGATGTTATTCCGAAAAACAGGATTATGTGACCTCAACAAAAAGCAGCTACTTAAATTTAATTTAATTAAAGTAATTGCAAGATCTTTCTCAAGTTGCGGAAGCTTCTTGGTCCCTCATCACGTTTTCGCGGAGCAACATTTATTTATTTACTTAACTACTTGTGATGTCTGAACCAATTTGTAAGAATTTCCTCATCAGACGAAGTATTTCAAATGCTCATTACTGAAACTGTTAACTCACGTTTCAACAATTAAACAAAAAAATACGACGAAAGGAAGGCATCACCAAAAGAATCTCAAGTTTGAAACGTGCGCGATCGGCAAACACCCAAACAAAAAAGTCTAGTAAATAATATAATAAAAATCAAAGTTAATGCTTCAATTTGTAGAGCGTTCATAGCACTTGAGAACATCATTATGAAGAGCGGCTCATTATATCCCCTAGTTCAATGGGGGGCAACACTTTTGATTTCAGATGCGCATTGCCTTGGGCGAATTTAATGGAGAATGCGAAGCAAAACGTTTTTGGTTCCACGAATCTCAAGTGTTAATTAAGAAATTAAACAATCGAAGAAGATCAAAGCAGCCCACACAGATTCGATATCAAAATCGGAATCGGAATCTATGCGCAAATCAAAGTCGAAACGAAAAGCGTTTGCAATTCTGAACGAAGTTAGCGCGTGTTTATTGAGATCTTTCCAGATTTTTATATCTGTTTAGCTTTTGATTTAAATTTTATTAGCCGTGTTTCTTGATGCCTTCGCTTTGCACTTCTTAAGCCGATGATTTGCATAAAAAACGCATTAAAACTCAAACTAGAACTGGCACCAACTCTGATACCATGATTACCATATGATTTATAAGTGGCGGCCATATAATTACTGAGGTAATCGACCGTAACCTGATGACAGAGCCGAGTGCTTCAAGAGGTGTCTTCTGGGTAGTTCTCCTCACCAGTTAATCGCCATAAAACAAACACAAAATCTCCATAAAAAGGCTCATTTGCATAACAAAATACGAAGAGCAGAAATTGTCATATAGTATTCCAAATATTTCCGGTTTCCCTCTGTGTTTTATCACACAAATTCAGCTAAACGGAAAGTTCATTGTTTAAGTCTTTCGTTTATTTTAAGTGGTGACCATATGGTAGTCAGACTCGCAATGCTCCAATTAACGATAAAGTTTATATGAAACTGATCAAACAATCATTAAAACTTTAATTAATTGCACACAAAATATAAGATCACAAAAAAACTGTCAAATACCGAAACTATCAACATAAATAAAATGCTAATTAAATTAAGTCAGTATTATTCCAGCAAGAAACAAAATTATCAATACTCTCTAACCGATTTCTATGGAAAAAATAAAGGGGATTTCTGTGTAGCAATTGGAAATTTGGGAACCAACGATTATTTGCTTGTATCATTCCTTCATATGAAGGGAATCCCCTAGTTTTATGAATTTAAATATCATTCCCTATCATTTGTATTTTGTGCTAAAATTTTAATAATTTGTAACAAGAATTTAAATGGAATTTTTTACATAATTGGGCTGATTATAAGCTATTTCCTGATACCCTTGTTATTGAATTTACCGCATTTACATTTTGTTATAAATGAGACAAACAATTAGCTAAACCTAAATGTTTCGGTATTTCTTATTTAAAAGTAGATCGGCAGCACAAAAGTCTTTGATGTTCCAAATTTATGGGAATTTTTTGGTATGCCTATTTTGTTTATACTGTGAATAAAATTAGCAACTACAGATAAGCGGAAGATAACATAACTGAAGTCAATATAAATATTTTCTGTGGAAAATATGCGACATATTTAACTATGGATATATAAATAATTTCATGGTGGTGTTATTATTATAAAAACAAATACGGAAATGATATTATCAGATCATCTTGATACTGTCATCTTTCAACATAAAATTTGCATTTAGTTTTGAGTTTGTTATATTGAAGCTTGTCATGATGCAGAAAATGCTAATAAATTGGGATTCATAATAATCAGGTCTCAGAATTAGTATAGAAACTCACCTAAACAGGTGGTCAAGTCCAAGGCCCCCGCATATAGACATCCATTTTTCCTCTTTATCACATTCGCTAGCTTGTCAACGCAGAAACACTCGTTATCATGTTCCGGACCAATGTCGTTGATAAAGTTTTCGCCGATGGAGTACCGGTATCCAGGGATACCCTGGTACTGAATATCTGTCTGGTAGAAGAGCTCTACTGATCTACAAATATCCGCGCTGAAGATATACATGGAATCCCCTCGCTGGCGAAATGGTGGATAGGCCGATGCATCGGTTCCATTGATCTGATTGCAGACTGAAGTTTCGCCCTCTGCGCTGGCATTTAACCACACCTGCAGATTATGCGAGTCATCCAGTTTTTGGATCTCCAACACCCTCATGGGATCTCCTTTTCCGGTATGCACTTCGTAGACTTCGTGTCCGGAACCATTTTTCTTCGGAAAGAAAAGAACATAAGTAGATATAAATATGGGTTTTCTTTGGATTCTTTTAATAATTTAAAATTGTACTCACGTGTCCAAAGAAGGAGAAGGCCAGACTTCCATCGCTTTGTTCCCTAATAGTTTTCGATCCACTCTCCTTGATCTGATTGCAAATAGCCTTGGCGATTCCCTGGGGATTGATGCAGAAACGCACTCCATCGAAGAGATATTCCCGCACAGATGTGCTCACAAACATGGATCTTGGATCATTGAAGACTGCCTTCAGATTGGCATTTAAATGAACCAGCAGCAAAGCCAAACCAGGATCATTCTCAGAGATTTGCAGGACAGACTGAAATAATGATAGATTTCGAAAAACACATAGCGTTAATTGAGGAACATGCATTCAGTAATCACCAAAGCTATAGGGCAAGGCAGAAAATGTTTAGTATTTAAAAGTATTTGAAAAGCATTAGCAGCAGGCGGGGCGGTTAGCTATAAATTAGTAGCAAAGCACAAGCTCAAATTTGTTATTATTAATTATGTTTTTGCGTTGAATGTGTGTGAAAATTGACGTTTCCAATCATACGGGTTTCAGCTGCCGTTTCCATTGATTTCTCCTCGCCAGTCGTTAGATAGAGTCGACAATTTATCAAAATATTTACATAGACGAGAGAAACCCAAGGTGAATGCCAATCAAAATTTTGCTGTTCTACGTCTGATGTGGATGATCTTGACTTTGGCAGTTTGAAGTTTTTAGTTTTGAGTTGAAGATGCTCCGAATTGCAATTAATATTATAATAATTAAACAGTTGCGAAGCTGTCAGAGCATCTGAAAAGCTGGTCAACTTACTTTGACACCATCGACAATGCTGATCATGATGCCATGTACCCAACTGAAGGGCGCTATATAAGTTTAAAGGTCATTAAATTCGATTCATTGGTATCTTTTTCATAATATCTTACTTAATTGAAATCTTAGTTGAATAAGATGTAAATTTTTAGGAAAAAATAATTTATTATTGGATAGTCTTGTTCGATTTTATCATTGAATCATTTTCTCATACTTCAAAGCGTAAGATTTCGAGTTTTGACAAGTCTTAGTTTGGACTGGGTTCATTAATTAACTCAATTTCTCAAACTAAGGAAGACTTCCTAAGGATGAATAGCTTAAGAACTAATAATAATAATATTTTCTTTCATTTGTTAAACAATGTTCTGAATTTGATTACTTCCATGAAACCTGAGACAAACCCGACCTATCCCACTCCAATCAAAGTTAAGTCGACACAATCGGCGCAATAAATCAGTAATAAAAAATATCATTAGCTTAATGGGTTATAAGCAGTCAGTCCATAAGATCCCTCAATATCCAATGACGCACGTCTGGGGTAAAATCATAATTAATAAACAATGAACTGAAAACGGCAAATAAAGAGAATAATAAATCGGTTGGAACCGCTGGTCTGGTCCTAAAGCAGAACAAAGACAAACAGAGCCGGCCGATGGTATCGTCCATCGGAGAACCGTGAAAAGCCATTACCATTAAGTTAAAAACACCAAGGCATGCTACTGAGTAAATCTTTGCATACAGTATCTATATAAGCAAAGCCGCCAAAGCGGCTCTATTGAAAAATAGACCATCACCAGTTGGGAGGATTTTACACTCGATTAAATTAGTAGTGGATAAAATTACTTTACGTTTCCCTCGAATACGTTCCATCAATCGTTTCAGGACTCGTACTCCTGGTGTCTGATTCAATCGAGAATTTAGCCTATTGGCAAATCCCTGAAAGATATCTGTGATTTCTCTTTCGAATACTTGTAAGAATGCCTGTAAATTTATTATAAAAATTGTAATTTCTTGGGGAGTATTTTGATGTTTAAGTTTATATTTGTTATGGTTTTGTATTTATACCTACATTCATGTGCATATTGAGCGCCACTATACGATCATCTTGGGTGTACGGGGCTGAGGCATCTGCATCGAAATCGAAATGCACATTTTGCACATAGGAGATTTTCGATCCATCCCTCGAAAAATGTTTTACCTTCTTCTGACGGAACTGCCTGGAAATATCATATGATATATATGGAATACTCTTTGAATCTATTTGATTGAACTCACCTGTACACATAGGGTCCTATTTCCTCTACAATGGGTATGGCACCTTGTTGAATCCTATCCGGATTGGTCACATTAAATATGTAGACTTTGAAGTTCAATGGCTGGGGCAGTTTAACAAAACGTTTATATTGTTCCGAGCCATCTGCTATAATGACGCTCTGCAAAGATAATAAATAGTCAACCAAATTAATAATTTTATCATTTATAAATATTTATGTTTATGATAATAATAATCACATGAATTCTGATGAGTGTTTAAAACACGACTTTAAGCTTTAAAAATATATTCTGTATGCTGATGAGATTAATTTAATGTGGTTCGGACTACTTTAATGGTTTTAATCTTAAAATAAAGTGTGGTAAAAATCATTGATAAAATATTATTTATTAAATATTTTTATTCGTTTGGATAGGCAGGACTTTTATATTTCTTTTAAATATTCAATAGCCTATGCTCAGTTATAACAATTTTTATCAGATCATACTTAAAGGTTGTTTATCACGCGACTAAGTCTTATTTTTATGACATAATGACGTCGAGGCAGCAATAAAAACCCAATCAAAAATATCGGCATCAATATCAAACTGAAGCTAAGCTGAACCTGTTTTCGCTTAAAGAAAATATTTTTCTCCCCAAAGCAACTCCTATTGTTATTTTGCATTGTGTTAATTATAATTTATAATTATTAACAGACAGAGAAGATCATTGACCACGTGAATTATTTGCCTTAATTTCGCATTTTATCAAAACAATACAATTAATTAAGGTGCGTCTCTGTGCTTTGCCCAAAAAAATCTTCCCATGCTACAACACCTTTTGCTGTTAACCTTCCATTTTAATTTTTACAACCCAGTAGGCAGAAAAATATTTACAGTTCACAGAAAAAAATTGGCAAAACATAAAAAGGCACACCAAAAAACATAAATAAAAGTGAAAAACAAGTTCAAAACATGACCAGCAATATAATTTTACGGTCTGCCCCTCGCACTTGATACAATTGAAGAATTGTCAAAAGAGCTAAACCCATATTTGGGTATATATTTATATGACTAAGGCAGATCTCAAGGTCAATGCACACGCGGTTCGGTTCAGTTCAGTATATCGAAGAGCATACAAAACGTTTGATTAACCTCAAGAGCCAAAGAGGGGTTCAGGCATTCGGCTGACAATGGCCCAAAATTCATTCAGAAAAACTACAAAAAATTGTTGCGAAATAGAGTGGTTTTGGCAAAGCGGCAGGCCAAATCGAAACGTGTTTACAATTTTAATTTTGCTCAAGATTGAATTTGGGACAAGAATGTGCTGGGTTAAAGTGGCGTATGCGTAACTTTCTGAAGGTGTTAAATGAAGAAGGGCTTGGCTAAATTGGAACAATATAAAAGTGGGTATATTCTTAAATATTAATCAAAATGTTTTTTAAATAAATGTTAAAACGAATAATAATGGAACATACATGTAACAAACATTTAAGAATTTGACGTGGGCTAAATATATTTTGCATTTATTAAAAAATTTTTCTTAAGTCATTTACGTTTTAATTAGTAAAGTTATTTCTAGAAGTAGTATACGACTGTCAATTAAACTTTGAACATTATTTAACAATCAACAAGCCAACTTTAATTTAAAATATTCCACAAAAAATTTAAAGTTCAATTTAATTTTAAAAAGTCACTAATTTTCTCTACAATAAAATAATAAATTAAAGTAGCTAAAATATGGGTCAGAATGAAGGAAAGAAATGGTAAATGTCCGACATAAATGCCTACAGAGCGATACTTTTGTTTGGCATTGCTTGCGGGCCAAATTGCACAACAGTGTTTGTGTTGACCATCGAAAATACTTCAATTGCTTTGAATTTCAATTTCGATTCATGACTCGTTTGTTTTGGCCAGTTGTTTTCTGTCTTTGGCGCCTGCATTTGAATCCCAAATAGAAATGGTTAATGTGCAAGGGACGGACCACCTTCAAGTTGAAGGCCCTCCGATTTGGAGGGTATTTCGGCCATTCTAGATCGGATCTCGAACGCGTACACACGGAAGTTCATTGCTAACGATGGCTCGTAAACAGAGTTTTGCGGCCCAACAACATTATGGGTGGCAAGCCAAGTTCCAGGGGCAGAGTCACAAAAAAGGCCAATTAACTTGGCTTGGCTACAACGATTAAAAAAGAGCAAACACAGCCACTACAACAAAGCGGCGACTAAAAAGATAAGACTTTGTGTTTGCATTCTAATTGCAATAAAAAACAAGCCCTCGGCTCAAAGTCAAGTCAAGTACTTCTAGTTGCCTTGGCAATGAGCGCCGAAGATGTCACGTTTGTTTCAGTGAGCTATGGGAAACTGGCTTGGTAAAAAATATTATAATTAAGTCTTCATAAAAAAATATACTTAAATTTGTCATATTAAAAGCTTATAAAAAATAATTTAGTTGAGAAAAAAAACCTTTGAATAACAAAATATTATATATAGTTTGTAACTGGTTTTTTGTACATTTATCAAGATAATCTAATATTCTTTTTTAAATTTCCATATACTTTGTTACGAGAAAAAGGCAAAAAGCTCTTTATAAATAATAATTTTTATGAATATTAAACAACTTAGCTTAACCTTTTATGATATTTTTCAAGAACTCTTGTTTAAACCGAGTCACATCATTGTGTTTTTTAGGGCAACCCCAATGCCAGGCATTTAAACATGGTCATAAATAAAATGCGTGGAAGGACAAGAACATGCATTGAAGTGTTTGTTTTTGGCTCTAATGGCTTGGAAAATCCAATAATAATAAAGTGCATTTGGCTGACAAATTAATTCGCATTGCTCATGGCATTTCAATTGCATTTGGCATTCGTTTAGAGCGTGACCCAAGGGATCGGTTCTCTGCTTCTATGCGAGTATGTAATTATTTCGTGTCAAATTCGGATATATTTGAGGGAAATGAGAATCTATTGCACTTGTTGGCCCAGCAATTACACCTGTTACGAGCTTGGATAGCGATGGGCTTGGAACCGACAGCCGTTGGTTTATTTTGGTAGCGATGTCATTACGGATAAGGTAGTTAATGTTTGCTTTTCGTGCCATTACCTATGTCCCGACTTTATAGATCAGTACTGTCCGGTTTGGTATCCCTTGAATAATAAAGTCCAGCAGTTGATCTGATGGCTAGCCACCCAAAGTAATTAAGAAAATTACAAAGAACATATCTTTTAGTTTTATCAAAGCTCTTTGTAAACTTGCAAATTGAAAAACCTGTTTTTTTATTGTAGGCGTACATTATTAAATCTATTATTCATTGCTTCGAACTTTGAACTTTCTTTGAGTCATAGCTAGTCTAACTATAATTCTGTGTAACTCATTCAATAATCACTGTACAGCTTTCGTTTTGCCATTTGTCAGCCAGAAAAAGTCAACAATAGAATCATTATTATGCCATTGTTTGGTTAGTGAGAGAAAATATCTGTGTGAACTTTGAAATCTAAATATTTGGCTTAGAAACGTTGACAAGTTTCTAATGAAAGGCTGGGCTTGTTAGCTTGTTAGATAATAAAGAAAAAGACTTTGGAAGATTTTATAAGTAAAGTTCTGTGATCTTGTCGCTTTGGGTTTTTTTGTGCGAGTGACTAATAATAAATAGTACATGGTAATAATAATAACATATAGTCATTTAAACAACCTCAAATATTGAACCTATACATAAAATCGAATATGGCTATAAAGACTTAAAAATATGAAATCTTTCTAGAAAATATATGTCTCGAAACCTGTTTGGCTAGTTTATTTTTTTAAGTGCACGTAAGCACATATTTCCTCTGGAGAATTAAACCCAAGGTCGCTTGTTTTTCGTTTTTCCCATTAAAATTCTTCGTATTTTGTGTAATTCTTCTTAACCTTTTGGGGATCTCACCTGTTCGACCTTATTGTGCACCATGTTGGGGAAGAGAATCCAGCCGCAGTAGCCGCCCAAGCCGGCCACGCAGACGCCCAGGGCACTAACTATCAGGGACCAGTGGAGCATTTTCTCGGAGACGATCGGATGGCTTGGAGTCTACGGAGATGGGTCGAGACCCATTTATCGGGTTCGCTCTCTTTTCTCGATCAAAACGCCGGCAACAGGTATTGGATTTTTTTTCTTGTTTCTTTTTTTTTGGCTTTTTGATCCAGCGGAGCTTTGGCCTGACCTACGTCAAGTGAGAGCCACTGTTGTTGGGGTGTCGATCTTGTTGTTGTGTGCCGAAACAAAGCGCACTATTTATAAGATACCCGTTTTGGGGCTTTTTTTTTGGTGTTTGTTATATATAATTTTGAAATAAACAAGTTGCCGAATGCGATGCGATGCTGCCGCTTTACTATATCGTATTATATGTCCCTTATAGTAAGAGCAACAACAGTATTCGTAAACGTAGTATATGTGCTGGTTTTTTAAGTACGAAAACGGGTTTGGCTGTGGTGTTGCAGTGAAAGCTTTTTTCCGCCATCAGCTGGTATAATTAAAATATTTTTGTTAATTATATTAGCGTTTTTGCCTAATTGGGTCGAGTCACAACTTCACACGCGCCAAAGGAATAGCTTTTTTCTGGTCTTCCCCATCGAAGAATCGCCGGCCAAATGACATCGGTGGTTAATGGTGGCACATATTTATTTGATTCTCGGTTAACGTAACTTGCTAAGCGAACTTGGCCGGAAAATGGTGGGCGGCTTTCGGTCGCGATAAAAATCAGGTGCACATTTGAAATTAATGGCCGCACGCGAAGGGAAAATGGGGAAAACTTCCGCCACAAAGCGGAATGAATCAGCAGAATAACACAACAATTTCCAGCGTACTTTTGTAATTGAGTGTCGGTCCTAAGTGCGATTTTATTGAGATTTTCTTGGTGGCGGGTTAGTGTGCTTTTTCGAGATTTTGTTAACCGGAGATCCAACCGCTCGGAACAACCGTTGACGACTGCCAGAGTTCAGGCCAAGCTGCGATGACAATGCTGTGACTTATGGCTTTCGGCAGCCAGCAGTAGATTGTAGGTCTTTTGGCCAAAAGCCCTAAGCCAAGCGATCGCAGAGAGGCCAAAATTAAAGAGCGCATGCGCAACGCTCCTCGAAACTTTTGTCGAGGGCTTTTCATTAAGTTTTTGGTCCGCTGATGAGCAAAAAGTTTGCAGGTAGTTGCTCGACTTTTTTCTCTGCTTTGGTAATATTTCAATACATTTTTATTTCACTTAAATTATGGATGAGCCGCTCATTAGCAAATTAGTGCAAGTTTTTGCTTTTGCCACTTTTTAGCCATATTTGTTTTGGCCCATTTTGATTGTGCTAGTTTATCTTGGGGGGTGGAAGGAATTGACCTTGGAATATTATATGGGGTGTGATTTATGTGCTGAATTCAGTTTGAATTTAAATTAATATAGAACGTGAGAATTACACCTGAATTTAGGGCTGAGTCACTTTTATGGCATTCCCATTGGAATATATTGCCTTATTTTATCGGGCATCAAAAGGTTCTAATGATACACTTTCTCTAATTGAACTGAATCGGCTGTAGACTTAGAGTGAGGTTATTAATCAGCGGCTTTGGATTAATCTGATTAAGTCGCAAAAGGGTAATTTTTGTAAAGTCCTTTTTGATGTATAAGGAAGATATTAGGCAATTCACCATGACTAGTTCAAAAAGGAGAGTCATTAATCCAAAAAGTTGATGACAAACATCTATTTTTTATACTATGTGGTCTTGATAAATTACTAACTATTTAAACTTATTTTTTCCTTTAAGCTTGGGAATGTGAAGGAACAAAGTATTAAAGATTAAAATGGTTTAAAAAATAATATCAATAAAAGGTTATATTTTACAAAAGAAAAAAAGTCCTTTTCTTGATTAATTATTGCTAGTTATATACCTTCAAAATCTTTATTTAAGTTTATAATCTGGAACCGTTATTGTAAAGCCCTTCGAGGGACTGAAATCTCTGCCAATCTTATTTACACTCTCTTCTCCGGCTCTTCACTAGCGAAGCCTCTCTTTTTCCCTTCTCTTTTGAAGTTGGCGTGGGTGCAAGACCCCTCCCTCTGGTATCCAATATTTTTGGACAAACGCATTAACAGGTTTTCGTGCCGTGAAATTTATATGTAAAAACTTGTAAGGCAAAAACAATAGCGATTGGATTCGGATTCGACTGCGGGTGAAGCTTTTGTTGAACTTGACACGATTGTTGCCCATTCATTTTTCGATGTGGTTTTTGTTTTTGCCACTACTTTTTGTTGCTGTTGTTCTGCGCATAAATTTGTTGAATGTTGTGCAAAAAAGTAAAGCTTTAAATATTAAACGGATGCCAAAATATAAACAACTTTAGATAGAGGAGCGATAGAGAATAGAGACGTGGCCAAAATTAATTGGCATAAAATGGTAAGTATTATTCAAATCATACTTTTGTTCGAAAAGTATGTCAGTGGTCCTTAAAAGGTAAATGGCCATAAATACATTTGTTATATTTTTACTTAGGGGGCTACACAAAAATATGAAAAAAACACTTTAGAACTGAATCAATCTTCTTTACAAATCCCCCATAATACCCTAGTGAACTGAAACTATTCACTTGCCAATTCCTTAACATTTTATGTGACTCCCACACTCCACACTCATTTCAATTTCTCTGCAACATTTCTTTTAATTATTTTGTAGTGCGATCCACATTTAGCCTAGTTTTTCGAGAAGTCCCCCCCTCCCTGGGCAAAAGCTCTTGGGGATTCGTTCTCCATTTGCGTGCAGCATGTGGATATAGTAATTTAAATATTTATTGCATTTTTTTATGCAGGCAACACTTGAGGCACAAACAACCTCCTCGGCCCAAAACTCTTTGCCTTTGTCTGACCTCAAAATTAAATTCAAATCTCGGGCAAATGGCAAGACTTGGCAGCAGGCAGTTTTACATTCTTTTTTCTCCTGTTTTGGGTATTTTTCTTGTTTATTTTCTCATTGGAAATTGATTGCACTAGTGTGTGAGTACATGTTGTACGCAGTGATGGGATGGAAAATGTTTATTTATTCTAAAGTATAGAATATTAAATGGTACGAAATTTACAAAGTAGTTATTAATAATTTATTAAATATTTAGAGCTGTGAGTCTTGAATTGAACATACACAATAAATAAATAACCCTTTATAGGAAAGGGAAAATAAAGAAGTGCTTTGCACCCTTTTAGATATAATAAAGGTACTACAAATAATACAAATAATTATACCAGTATTCAAGAAAGTATCGTAATTGTGTACCTACATTAGATAAATATACTATTTACTTGGGTACAACTACCTACGGAATCGCCATCACTGGCTATCCGTGCATGTGTTCAATGGAGTGATATGAAAAACTTCACACGACAATGTAAGGCAAAAAGGAACAATCAGCGAACACGAACTGGATTTATCCACACCCAGCCCCACCTCCATTTCCGCCTGAGGATATTCCCTTGCATTGATGGCGTGCCTAGGCAATCGCAATTTATAGATAATTTGATACGAAACGTCAGACAGTCGCTCAGTCGGAAGAGTTGGATTGAAAGTGGCACAAGGACAAGTCGGGTATCGGTGTGTTTGGTTTCTGGGTGGCTCTCGGAATGCATTTCTAACGAATTTTCATTAGCCACCAAATTGCAAATGAATATTTGAATGCTTCGATGGATGGCTTACTGGGGCGTATGCGTAATTCGTTCTCACGTTCCACATACGACCCGTGTGCACTGGAATGCCCAAGAACAAAGGCCCAAAGGCTTAACTGCTGCAGCAGAAAGTACGAAAAAATGCAATTAAATGGATTAAGCGAGGAAGAAGGCTAGAGTCAAATGAGGCCAACGTGAAGAAGGTTCTGCTGATTCTCTTGGCACTCTCTCCCCCTCCCCCCCCCCCCCTTTCGCCACTTTCTCCTCGTCTTTCGCTCGTCAGTGTTTGTTTGGCCAACAACAAACCAAAGGCAGTCACAACATTCGAGGGCTCAGCAAAAGGGGAAAAAAGAGGTGCAGAGCACACAAGGATTCAGCCACTCGACCGCTTATCGTCAACTGTCATCGTCTGCCAGGCTCTGAACCCCTGTGCACTGAGAGAAAAAGGCTTAGGGTCTTTCAAGTGCAAGTGTACTACAAAAAAAATTCATTTTTAAATTATATAAAAATGTTTTTTGGTATAGCAAAGCTAATAACATTTTTAAAACACAAAAAATGTAAATTATTTATTATTAGGACCTCATAAAAATGATATTTTTTCTGCAATTAAAACTTGAGTTTGAACTTGAATTGTACAATTTACATTTTAAGGAACTGTACTTACAATCAGGATAGGTTATAATTTATAAAATATTAAATAAATTATATTGATATAAATATATAATATATTTATAATATATTTTTTGGAATACTTTTTATTTTTCCCTCCGTGTACTGCCTCTCCAAGGTGCACGGACATCACTCTGCATTGTTGCAAATGTGAGCGACCGATTGATGAGCATGTGACGTTCCGTCCTGGCCCTTGGACTGTCTGTCTATATGCCTCTCCGGCTATACATATGTCCGCCCGACTTTCCGTCCGCTTTCCGACCTGAAAGTGTGTCAAATAAAGTGCTAAAAGATTTATGCCCTGCACCTCCTTTTCCAGCTGGGCCTCTCGTTCGTTCTCTCGCCGTCTATTGCTCTCAATAAGTGGCACAAAGGACGAACGACGGGCGCTCACCGCAGGCTTAAGTGTCTCTAACTGGCAGACAGGACACCCAACTGGATATCTGCCCCTGTCCATGTATACACACCCTTTGTGTGTGTGTGTGTGTTGTGCTGCAGTTTTTCACTGGGTTTTCCCGCTCCTGGGCTGCTGTGATGTCCTTTCGGCCCAGGCCAATTTAGAGCTCGAATATCCTGCTTTCCGTTTCATATCTCGATTTCTTTCAGTTGACTGTGCTCATGAATAAAGCAGGGGCCAGTATGAAGTCATATGAAGTACGGATAATCCAGTCCATTGCTGAACTTGAGGTCTAGTAATAAAAAGAAATTGAGTTGAAAAACGATGGCCACAGTTTAAGTCGCTTTATTAGGGTAAGGAGTATTTTATATAAGTAACTGAAATCTATTATATGGAATTAAACACATAGAAATATAGACTTATTTTTTAATTATTCAGAGTTTATGGTTACTTAAAATAATACTATACATCTCTCATCTTTAAAAGAAATACTTTATGGACTTTTCCTTCCATGATTTCTTTTTAAAAGTGTAGTCCTTTACCTGGAAGCTGCCAGAAATTCCTTGTTCATTAGAACAGCACCTAGTCCTACGCTTTATCGCCCCTATTAAGTGGGGATTTTAACGAGCAAAAATTGAATTGATTTAGCTGGCGATTTCCAAACACGCAGCCTTCGCAGCTCACAGTTGTGCCAACAAATGAATTACTGCGCACTAAGATTTCGCCAGCCCCCTCCCAACTGTCACACAGATACACACACACACGTATACACGCCCACAAAAGGGCTGCAGGGCCGCAGGACATCACCCCCTATCCCCTCAACCTACCCACTTTTCGTTGTCCTTCGCTCTGCAATCCAGGGACGCGCTTGAAAAGGCATGAAAAACGTGAAAAACGTGAAATCCAAAACGCTGCAGAGACGCTGGAGGCCAAAAACGAAATCAGGCGCTTGGCGATGGCCAGAACCTCCAACTAATGACAATAAGGCGCGAACTGGGAAAACCCCTTCACCCATCCAGCGAACCACCCACCCAATATCACGCATACGCCGCCTTGCCTCGGGTGCCTAACAAAAATATCACGCATACGCCGCGTTGCAGCAGCGAAATCAAAACATAAACCCAAATCCAGTGACTGCATCGGGTTTTCCTCAGCGCGTGACCAAAACAGAGAGAGAGAGAGAGGGAGAACGTAGGGAAAATAGAGAGCGCCGAGAGAAAGGCTTTCTCTCACTCACGACGGAGTTTCCCCGTCATCATCATCATCATGATGACGATGAACATAAATGCGACGTCGTGTGCCAGTTGGAAATTGCATTTTCCTTCAGTTCTGTTTCAGTTTCGAGTCCGTGCAGTCGTGTTGGCCGGAGTGAAAAGCGTCGAGGAAAACTTGCAAAACAAAAAAAAAACAACAGAACAGAGCAGAGAAAATAGAAATACAAATAGAAATAGAAATAGAGAAAAGTAAATAAGCAAACAAGTGCAGTTTCGCTGGGAGAGTGTTGAGGAAAAGGGAGATTAATCCCCCGGATCTAGCATAGATATACCTAGATACCTACATTTTGGTGGTCCCAACACAAAAAGCACGGAGTGCTGAAAAAGCTGAGCAGCCCCCCCTTGAAGTAGCCACAATCATGTCGACGTTGCCCTTCCTGCTGAGCGTCGCCGACGAGCTGGACAACATACACTCGCAGTCCTACATGGACGACTTTGGCCTGGGCTTCCATCCGCACCGGCAGTACTATCGCACTCCAACCATCCAGCTGTCCCTGCCCGCCAGCACCGACTGGACGGGATCGAGGGATTGGACGGGCCATGCGGCAGTGGGCAACCGGCATAGTCGCTATCGCAGCTACAAGTTCTACGATGACTCACAAAACAATCTGGAGGAGGAGGAGCAGCCGGTAGAGGAGCCAATGCAGCAGTTGCCCATGGAGCAGGTGGAGTTGCCGCAGCAGCTGGTCCAGCAGGACAACCAGACGATATCGCAGGGCCAGCAGACATCGAGTGGAACTGCCACATCCGCTCCAGCTCGCCAGGGTCTGGGCATGGTCACCTCACATTCCCACGATGTGGGTGTGGGTGGAATGGGATTGAATCTAAAAGCTGGCGAGGAGGAGGATGATGAGAACATCGATCGCACCGTGCGCATGTATAATTTGTCCAAGAAGTGCTGCAAGAACTACTATCGCCATGCCCTGGAGACCGGACCTGGTGCCAGTGGCAAGATGAAGTGCAGCAACCTGCGCTCCGAGAGCCACAAGTCCAGCTCCAGCTCGGAGGAGAGCCTCCAGAAGATACCCTCGCCCATAGAGTTCCTCACCTGCTTCCTGGTGAAGAAGTCGCGCACCCCCAAGGCCAGTGTGCCCGTGGGCCAGCCTCTGAAGAAGACATAGAACTCGGCCCGGCTGCTGCCAGCAGCTATGTCCGCCAGGACCAGCACCACCATCAGCTCCACGGCCACCACCAGCGGAGCCGTGACCAATGCGTCCACGGACACGGACACGACCACGTCGAAGCGGCGGAGCAACTGCTTCTGAATGTTGGCCGGAGTCGGAGTCGTCTGTGGCCAGGCCTGGAGTTGGCTCCAGCGGTGCGGGGAGCTGCCCAGCTCGGAGCCCGCCTCCTTGCCAGCGACGCGCCTGGGCAGGATCACCTACTAGGCGTCCGACTCCGATTCGCTGTCAGGGGTGCATGTTTGGTATATGTATATGATTTGGCACTGGGATAACCTCTGGCTTAAATGTTGAAGTTAATGGATTTTATCGAAAAGATTTTGAAAGGTTAGCGATTTCGATTTGCACTGAAACGGGGCTTTCCATTCGCAATTCTTACATTTTGTATTCAACCTTGAACCCAAAAATTGCATTTAACGCGAACATATAGGTATGTAAATTAAATAATTTAGAATGCGTTTTTGTGTAATATCTAACCATGCTTTCATTATTTGGTTCCAAGAATATTTCCAACAAATACCACAAAATCTCCGAGCTATCTGTTTGTCAAATTCGATTCCATTGAAAACCCCGTGTAAGCGATTTATCAGTGCAAACATTCCCTAACCACAATTTGCAAGCAACTACAGGCCAAAGCAAATCGAAGCTTATAACAACAAATAATATTACCAAGAACTATACATACAGGTATAGGAAATTTAAAGTATGACATATAAATAAAAATAAACTATTCAACCAACACCGAAAAAACTTTTTTGCAAACCAAATACACAAAATTTTTAAAGCCAGATTTATACCAAAATAAGAAGATACCAAGAATTTGTTAAGCAAACATTTTTTATACAATTTTTTGATACCAAGGAAAAGATATAACTTATATATGGATATTATATTAATAATGGGAAGTTTAATTAAATCAAGGAAAGGAAATTCAAGCTGAGCCAATATCTTTGGGTAATACTTATGGTTCCATTTTAGTTTTTGGTACTGTTAAACAAAAGAGGTATAATACTTTCAGGGAAACTTTTATAAACACCTATTGCCATTTTAATTTTTTTTTTCTAATGAAAATTTTTCTATTTTTGTTATCTACCTTCAGGTATTGGTTGAGTTTGGAACTCCTCACAATTTTATAAAAGCTGTTAGCTGTTTTAAGCCAAATAAATTGCGGGCTAATTCAATAGGTCTTCTGGCACACACACACACAAAACACAAATAATACCCCAATAGCAATGTTTCATTTTCACACAAAGACAGGAAAGTTTAGTTTTTTCCTATTTCTCCCAGCTAACTGAAAAATGTTGGCGGAAAAAGGAAAATTTTAGTAAAGCTGGGGGAACTTTTGCACAATGTGGGCAAGTGTTTGGGCCAAAAGGGTGGTGGGTGGTCTGGTGGGGGATAGTGGGCCCTATGAAAAGTGAAACATGTTTTCAATTTCCTTTTTTCGGGGGACTGTAAACAAGTCAATAGCGAACTACGGCTAAGGACAAACACACAGAAGACCTTGGTCCCAATTTCAAATTAGTAGAAAAGCAAAACAGAAAAAAAAGGAAACGCAAAGAAAGATTTTGTAGCAGAATTGTAAACGGAAAACTTTGGCGAGGCTTGCGTCTAGTTAAATGCTGGAATACAGATATAACAGAATAAATATATATATTTATAGTTTTGTAGTCAGATATTCTCTTGCGTGTTCTAAATGTATTCTAAATGTTGAACAAGAAAATATTTCAAATGTATTTACAACTAATCAAGAAGAACATTTTATATATATGTATATGTATACTATATGTGTAGTCACACTGTTTGCACTTTTCAGAGTTTAGAAACAAGGCATAAAGTAAAAATACCAAAAATATATCTATATAATATAGTATATATATCACAACACTCATAGCTTTACCGCAACAAAAACGAAATAAATTCAAAACTCAGCATCATATCTTTCGGATAAATGTAATATCTAAGAGCTCCCAACAGATACCATAAATATGCCACAAAGAAAATGTTAATGAAAATTACCTAGCTGTAGTTTGGACTAACGATTTTTGCCAGTAGCTCTTGCAAAACTTTTATCTAGATGGAAAAGCATTTTAACATTGGCCAACTCGGTCGTCACTCATCTAACCGATATACTCGAAATCAAAGTAATTTAGACGTTCCTCAAAACTTGATCACTTGCATGGCAAAAGAAAACCTCTCGTAACTACATACTTTATCAACGAAGAACACACTCAACGCATATCATTCCAATACAATAGATTTCAGCTAAATCGTATTCAACTTGAGATTCAATAAATAAATATGCGAAAATATATATGAAATTGCTCAGGTGTTTTATTTTGGCGGAGCTTGTCGATAATAATTCTTAAAAAACTATTAACTTATAAGATTTTTAATATAATAAAGGCGAAAGTAATGATAAAATATTATGCTAAATACGTAATCAGATATTATTTTTTATCAAGTGGTATATAAGGAATTTTTTATAACACTTAAAATACTCCAACTTCCTAAATATTTTTTTGTGGATGATATATTTTAGCAGGCACCCTTACACCACTTGACACAAATTAAGAAACCGTTTTCATTGCCAACAAAACTCTGTTATTTTGGCCCTGACAGACGGACATGCAAGGTCATAATGCGTCCTTCACACAACACTTGTCACTTGCATTAATTTTACTGTCTTGCCGCTTTTTTCGCCGACTGACACTCAAAACTGTCCGTCGGCATTTACAAATTTTCAAGTGCAAGTATGCGAGTTTTTGTATTGTATAGTAAGTGCTGACCTTTGGTGACTCACGAGGACGAGAATGTGCTGGTATAAAGTGTCCTAAGGCCGTGTGCATCTTGCCCAAGGATGTGTCGTCATAAAGTTCGTCTTGGAATTTTAAATTAACTGCAGTGGGCGAGTCAGGGAGAAATAAAAAAAGAAAGCATTTGCCAAGCCACCGTGTGCACTTTCCATTTCGGTGTTTGGCGTTGTTTAGCCATCACGTCTATTGGGTTCAATAGCACAAAACAAAAATAGAATAATAGGCCGGGCCAAGCGTTGTTTGCACGCCTTCTGGCCACCACCTCCTCAATTCCCAATCCTCAATCCTCGAACCTCGAACCTCGAACCTACGGAGTCCTGCCCGCACCGCTATAAATAAATCCCTCATTCGTATGCAAACAAGTGCAGCGACAGGACGAAGGGGCCTTCGGTGGGCGTGACTGGCGGCATAATGGGCGAGTTTGGAAATGTAGTTGCAGCTCTGGATTTGTTGAAGGTTGCCTCTGGGTATGATAACTATCTGGAAGCATGTGGGGAAATTTTCAGCAGACCGTATACATTTTACATGCTTTTACACAGCAAACAAAGGTATTAATATTATTTTATTTTGGGGGAATTTATAAAATATTTATATTTTCAAATACTTAAAAAAACGCTAGTCATTTTTAATAAATGAATAGATCGAATATCTTTTAAGAAATATTGAATAAACAACATTTTTGTTTTCATCAAAATCTAAAGTCCTATCAATGCATGGACCACCACTCATATTCATTACACCCCTTTTTGATTTGCACTTTACATATGAATGTACTTTGAGTTGTTCTTTTTCTGTAACGTTTATTGATTTCCAGTTCGTTGGTTTAATGCAATGTGATATTTATTTATTTATTTCAGATTAATATGAAAACATATTTTCTACCTGACTGAACTTAATTAAATATTCTGTTGATTTAAGGATATGTGGCAGTAAAGTGGCGTTTACACCTTAAAGTGGACAAGGACTATTTGCCATTTATTATTTATAACTATTTTAATTTATCAAATAACAGTGGAGAACTGAGATAATAATAATAAATAAACCTTTTATCTCCTTGAAGTCTTTCTTCTCCCCAAGAGTATATCAGGATCGACTTTGGGTCCCTTTGCTGGCCCCTTTCTTCTGGCTTTCTTTGGGAAAACTTTGCCAGTTTGTTGGTTCTGTTGTGGTTGTGGCAACTATTATTGTGGCTGCCTTTTGGGGACTCATTCTTTGGGGCTGGAAGCAGCAACCTGCAACCTGCAACCTGCGACCTGCGACCTGCAGTGCTCACTTCGCATGGCCAATTACGGTTTTAAGTCCTGCCGACTCCTCGCCGTCCTGTCTTTTTCTTCGACTTGAACTTTTGCTTTCGTTTCGGCCGCGCTGTGTGCTTTCTCCACCCGAAATTTCCCTTTTTCCCTTGGCAGTCGTCGCATTGCAGTGGCCTGTTGGCCAGGTCGACTGCACCTGCTTGTTGCCCTTTTGCGGCTGAATGTTTAGTGTCTCGGCGGCCATTTATTGTTACACTCGACTTCACCGCCCGGCGACTCTACTTTATTTGCCCCGTGAGCGGTGCACCTTATTGATTTCCCAGACTTAATTTGCTGGCCCTTTTGCTGGCCACTGTTAACCACAAGTATTACGCATACGACACGTTTGCCGTGTTTGCCTCAAACTTTTTGTAGCACACTTTTAGGCTGAATGCGGGAAATGGTTTTATGAGCTGTAGCTTAACACTTTGCCGATTCGTTTGGGGTACGGGCTAAGAGAAATCAGACATATGTCTTTGTAAGAAATTCATAAGAGTCTTAACATTGCTTGAAATTTTTTTAAATACAAATAATATATGTGGAGGTATTTACAATTCGTAGCTTATCTTATTGTTTTCTATTAGCATATTTTAAGGCTGTTTTGTCATTTCTTGCCTTTTCCCCATATTAATAATTCCTCGGTTGGAAAAATTGCATTTTAGATCAGAGCTCGATACTTCGTTTTTGTTTATCAGTGTAGTTAGTTATTTTGAAAATGTTTTTTGTAGAACACCTTGCATAATATGCTATGATGAGTGTTTGGCGGTTTGCATATCGCTTGCTATTAGCAAGAAGATTTAAATCTTAAAATACTATATACCAAAAATACGAAATTTTCTTTGAGAATATTATTCTCATTTTCTCTCCCGCGGATTCGCGCCTGGATGTCTAGGTGGGTGTGAGGGCATCCCACTATGCTAATGAGATCTACGATTATAGAAAGCCATCTCTTAGATAATGGCCAACACACAAGCGGTCCCAAAGAAAGTTGTGCACAACCCACACCACGGGAAAATTGATTCTGATTTTCATTTGATTTTGCCATAAAATCAAGCAAATTAGTAGATTGCTTTGTTTAGCGTTAATTGCAAAAGTATTGTTGTTGCGCCAGCTGCGGCACTTTGATTGATTTTCAAACGAGAAATTCTCTTTACTTACACTAAATAGCGTATGTTATTTTATATACCCAGAGAAAAATTTCTAATGTGTTATCATCGTTATCATATTAATTGTATATCAATGAAGAGAAAATTGAACCAAGTATGTATTATGATCACAAATAATTTTAAAATAACTAAAGTTAAAAAATATAAAAAGTAACAAAATGCTAAGTAACAAGTGTTTAATCAAAATGTTTAACTCCCGATAGTGAATTTAAAAATCTATGGGAATTTATTCATGTTCCTTATATCCAAAAATTTGGTTGATCATGGCATGAAGGCCCCAATCCATTACAAGATTCATTTTACGGAAATAAGCTGCATTTTTCTGGTTCTATTCATATGTCACCGAGTGTTTTCCAGATTGACTAATCTTCATCGCAGTCCCATTGAACTCGGCCTGTTGCAAATGACTTTATGTACAAATACAAGCTTAAATGGCATCTAAATTGCTGCGAAGCTTGTTATAATTATTATAGAATACACGCAAAATCTACTGCGACAACAGCAATAACAACACCAACGACTGGGACAACAAATTACAATTACAATCGGGGTGGGCCAACCCCAATCTGAATCGATGATTGTTTCGCTATGGGCACGGGCTTTAAAAAGAGGGGTAGGCAGGTCAGGCCCATAAATGTTCCGCTCATGTCGCGACATTTCAGTGCTTGTTCATACGTGTTTTTGTTTTATCGACTAATCTGCTCTGCAAAATCGTCCAAAAATTCACAAATTGCCCTTTTGTCATGGCAAACTCAATCCCCCTTTTATGTATCTGTCTCTATAGATTGTGTATCTGTAATCCGTGTATCTCTGTTGATTTGTATCTTCTAGCGCTGAAACTGAAAAAAAAAACACAGCACAGACACAAAATTGAATCCATATTGGGTCAAAAAGAGAAAAGAATTATCTGATGTTCGTACTTCCGCCAAAGAAATGTCTATGCTTTTATTTGGGCCTGCTCTGTTTTTGTTGTTTTGAATCTTTTAATTTTCAAGCGGAAACGCGGTGTAATTAATTAGTGATGCTACGCAAACTTTTTTGGCATGTTCCCACTGTTTTTAAGGCGTTGGCGATATGGGGGAATGGTTTGTTAAATGAAAGCGAAAAATGTAAACAAATAAGGAAGGTCAGAGGTCTAAACGAACAAAGCTAAAAAAAGCAAAAGCAAATGTTTGAAGAGCGAAAGATTTTCCGACTATTCAAAAATGTAGTGACGTTAATGTCTAAGATATTTGTAAAGTTGAACATTTGTTGGGGAAAGATAGATGATTTTGTTTCAAAGAAGATTTCAAAAGGTTTTTCCAGATTCCAAAACTTTGTCAGCAACGTATTTTAATGATATACTAGTTTTTGAGGGTTTCTCGTTAGTCTTTTAGTTTATTTAATGTAGGTATAATACTTACCTTGGCTAGTACTACCAATACAACCGCTCTACGGAAACAGTTTTGCGATGAAACCCACCCAACATAAGATCGCAAAGCGCCTCAAGGAAATGACATTCAGATCGAAGCATTTCCATTGACGGCAAAGATACATTTTCGACCCACAGCCCCCTTTCAGAATAAAAAACAGCGAAAACACAGGCAATGCGCCAAGATAAACAATCGAAAACATCGCCCAGCTTCTGTCGCCATTGCAACTAATAACGCTACACTGAGGAAAAAATATCATAGAAAATATATGTTCCATAAAAAAAGCTGTTACGAAAAAGTAAGAATCAACACAGAACATAGACCAGCAGAGCTATATCACTTAACTAACTTTCTATATCGTTTAAAAATTAATTCATTTTCCTAAAAATATGTGCTTATGTCATGTTCCATCATACATGTATTTCTGTTATGCTAGCTGGAATTTTGATTTTATAGTTATGCTGAGATTTATAGAACCCAGAACGGAGATTTATAGAAACTCAGCTCAACGCTATTCTTTGATAAGCCAGGGTTTCCTTACTATAAGTTACCATTTTCCGAGTATTACTGAACTTCCGGAAACCAATTTTTTTTACGTGTGCTTGCTACGTCACAACTGTCATTGGCTCTAGACT